CCGGTAGAGCATTCCATTCCTTTGCCGTACGCATCAGAAAGGAGGAGGCAAAGCGCTTAGTGCGAATAGGTGGAATATCAACGACATAAGAATGGAGTGCTCCGGACCTTCTAGTCGACCGAAGGAGGAACGGTGAGGGCGGAACCAAATTGAAAAGTTCCTGCGCACACTCCCCGAAATGTATCCGATAGAAAACCGACAAGCAGGCTACTTTTCTGCGATGATCGAGATTTTGGAGCTTCGACTCCACAAGAGGATTATTGTTAATAAGTCTCTTTGCTTTACGCTCCACCGAGTCCAAGGCAGCTAACTGGTATTGGGCAGAGCCGTCCCAAAGGTGGCAGCAGTACTCCATACAGGATCGAACTTGTGCTTTATACAGATTTAAAAGCTGTTCAGGTGTGAAGTACCGCCTGACCTTGAAAAGTATGCCTAGTTTTCTGGCAGCAGTTTTTGCCAAGCACTCGATGTATCGCCCAAAGTTGAGGTTGGATGATAAGTCCAGACCAAGTAGCTCAAGGTGGTCCCTTATCGGCACGGATACACCTCGGAAAGTCGGAGTAAGGTGTAGGGGACTCCGTTTTAATGAGAAAAGACACGCCTGTGTTTTAGCCGCATTAAATCTGACCCTGTTAGCATCTCCCCAGTCGGAAGCAGCTTTCAGACTCAGGTTCAACCGGGTGACCATCGCCTCTCGCTTACACCGGATCTCTTCACTGTTGTCTCGGGCGTCTGGCACATAACTCACCGCCACTGTGCTGTCGTCTGCGTACCCAAAGATACCGGGCATCAGCAGCAGGTCGTTGATATGCAGCAAGAATAGAGTGGCGGAGAGGACAGATCCCTGAGGTACACCGGCATTTATACCATGAGGAGCAGACGAGTAACCATCTACAACTACACGGATTGACCTATCCTTCAGAAAATCGCCTATCCATGTGCAAAAGCCAACAGGAATTCCGTAAGCTGGAAGCTTGTTTAACAGGCTATCATGCCAAACCCTATCAAAGGCCTTTGATATGTCGAGAGACACGGCAAGCGATTCACCGCGTTTCTCGACAGCCTCGCTCCATAAATGTGTGGCGTACGCAAGAAGATCCCCAGTAGATCGTCCACGGCGGAAACCATATTGTCGATCACTGAGGAGATCGTTATCTTCGAGGTATCCAAGGAGACGGCTGTTCAATACACGCTCCATAGTCTTACAGAGTATGGAGGTGATTGCGATAGGTCGATAATTAGATGGGTCGGCATGGCTACCTTTCTTAGGTACAGGCTGTACATTTGCAAGCTTCCAGGATTTCGGGACTTGTCCAGAACTCATAGAGAGGCGATACAGGCGAGTCAACACCGGAGACAACTCGGGTGCACAGTTCCGCAGGACAATCGCTGGGACTCCGTCAGGGCCACTGGCTTTGTTGACGTCTAATTTGCGTAAAGCTTTCAACACCTCTTTTTGACGGATAGTGATTTCGGGCATTTCCGAGTCACATCGAGGTAGTGTAGGTGGTGTTTGCAAAGTAGCGTCAAGACGGGAGTTGGAAGCAAAAAGAGAAACAAAAAGATTTGCTTTCTCTTCAGCGGTATGAGCCAGCGATCCGTCATCTCTCATTAAAGGCGGAAGGGATGACCTGCAGAAATTCGCTTCGACCGATTTAGCGAGTGACCAGAATGCTTTACTCCCTGATGGGTATGAAGCTAACCTGACCCCAATACGACTAATATGGCCGAAGCGAGCTTTCCGTATCGCTTTTTTGCAGGATCTAGCGGCTTTATTAAAGGCTTTCTTCAGACGGAGGGTTTCCGGTGCTTTGCGATCTCGAGCATCAGCCCAAGCCTGGTACGCAGATTGCTTTAGCGTTTCCGCAGAAGCACACTCAGCGTTAAACCAAGGGCGAGCTTTGCCGCTGGAGGAGACTTCGAAATACGGAATAAAGTATTCCATAGCCCGAATAATCACCTCAGAGACGGCAGACGCGCAGCACGTCGGATCGTCAGAAGAGAAGCACAGCTGCCGCCAGGGATAAGATGCAAAGAAATGCCGCATCGCATCCCAATCTGCTGACTTGTATCGCCACATCCTCCTAGTACTTCCCGTACTGAGATCGGGCGGGGAGTAGACAGATACAGATTTCACCAGACAGTGATCGGATGTCCCTAGTGGGGATGAGACCGATACTTGGTAGCGGTCTGGATCGGTTGTCAGCAGAAGATCCAGGCAATTGGCAGTGTGGTCGTCAACGTCCGGTACCCTGGTAGCGCAACTCACCAGCTGGGTGAGGTCTAGCGATAGAGCACATGCCCGCGCCTCTCTTCCAGCGTGGTCGGTTTTTTGGTATGGGAACAACCATTCCTGGTGATGGGCATTAAAGTCCCCCAAAAAGACAAGTTGTGCTTTAGGATACCGTTGTTGGACTGTTTCCGCCGAGCTGCAGAGATGGTTGAACAACCTAGTCGTCTCCGGGTCTCCAGAATGCGACCGATACACACTGGCGTAGACAATTTGTTCCAGTCCAGTGTCTACCAGAACCCACATTACAGAGAGATCGGGGTCTTCAAGGTCACGGAGACGTTTAGAGCAGATGTCATCACGAGCGTAAACGCAGGTACCAGCGCGCTGCTTAAATTTGTGCTCCAGAATGTAACCTGGGTAATGCAGATACGCCGTGTCCGAAGGACATCTAATTTGGGTCTCCGTGAGGAAGAGCATGTGAGGCCTTTCAGTCTCAAGATGGTGGTGGACAGATGAGAGATTGGAGTGCAGACCTCGGATGTTCGAGAGGTGCACTTTAAGTGAAAGGACGTGCATCCGCTGTTTAGCCTTCCTCAATTGTCGGAATATAATACCAGACAGCTACTTTTTGATATGTTCGCTTTGTGGACAGCATTATGATTTGCTTTGTGCGAATGTAGGAGAAAAGTTTTTTAGACTTATGCAACGTAAGAATGAATGGAAATGCATTGATTGTCATAGTAAGATGCCTAAGAAAGACAACTCCAATACACCGGTGCGCTCTTCGGTATTCGTATTAGATAGCGAAGACGATGAACGGAATAACGTCACTACAAGGATAAAAAAGACCAAGGAAAAAGACGAAAACATCCATATTAGCCCGGTCTATACTCCTATCGATGATGTAACCCGGTACTTGGAAGTTGTAAGAACTATGATCCGTGAAGAACTAAACGGCGAGGTAATGGAGCGCCTTACGAATAAAATTAGCAAAGCCGTTGAAGCCTGCACTGAAGTAACTTTGCATGCGTCTTTCGAAAAGTTAAATAACAGGATTAGCTCCTTAGAGTTGAAACTACAAGAGATGGAAAATAATAAGGACCTCAGTGCTCGAACACAGCATGGTGAAAGGCCGTCTCCAAATAATAAATTGGGTGCAAGTACAAAACAAATGCAAAGTAGACCAGTAGTAAAAGAAGTTCCAGCAGTAGACCGTGTGCCAGCAAAAAGGAAGCCTGAGAAGTCTAAGAAGACGTCGTCAGATCAAACAGGGTCTTCTGCAACCTTAATTTCTTCTCCTAAAATACCTCCCCTTATGACTACAGATAATAACACGAAAGTAGAAGGAGAAGAAGGCTTTATTGAAGTCAGGCACCGGCGAACACGATTCTCTTCACCACACGTACTCCGTGGTGTAGCGACGCCCGGTTCAACATCTCTCGAAGAAAACGGAAAGAAAATTGTGAAGAAAGTAGAGGAAACAATGCCAAAACCCCTTAAAAAAGTAATTATAATTGCGGATCAACAGGGGAAGGGTTTACAACCTTGCCTTCAGTCGGTATTAGGTTCACAATTTTCAATAAGTTGTTTCTGGAAAGGAGGCGCGAAAATGTTAGATGTCTTAAATAGTTTTAAAACGGAAATTATGTCCTTATCGAAAGAGGATTATGTTGTTGTTGTTGGGGGTACAAATGACACAAATCCGTGTGAATACAAGACGGTCATAAGAACTTGGTTAAATTTCATAACTAATACAAATATAATAATTTGTGAGGTTCCCTTCAACAAATCGTTAAATGAATTTATGTTAAATCAAGTAATTAGCCAACTATGTGAACAACACGAATACTGCACGTTTTTAGATCTAAATTATACTAACAGTTACATACCGAGAAAGGATAAAGTTACTAACATAAGTCGTTATGTATTACGAGAAATTTTGCGAATTCAAAATCAGGGTAAATATAAAGATTATATTCTAGATGCATGCAATAAGAGTACACAAACAGAAGACTTGGGCATAGGCGCTTCTAATTTTACAAATGTAACCCCTGTTTTAGTAAATGAAGACGATAAAATTGCCACAAAGAATGTGACCAGGAACAACGATCTTGATTTTTTTCGTGTATAACTTTCTATGGATACTTCACCAAAATATTAACGGCCTGATTGATAAATCGGACATGTTCTCAATAACCCTTAATGAGCTAAGAGAGACAGGAAAATTTGTTGATATAATATGCGTTACTGAACATAATATGCTTTTGGGGGACACAAATTATTTAATTATAGAAAACTATTTATTGGCTGCTGCATACTGTCGCACAGATAGAAATGGTGGTTCTTGCATATTAGTTAGAGACGGATTAAAATTCCAACCCTATGAAGAAATTGCGAAGTTAAGCATATGTAATTTGATAGAATGCTGTGCTGTAAATATATTGGAACATAATATGACTATCGTATGTATATACAGGGTACCTAAAAATCTAGATATAAAAAATAATTTAAACATTTTTTTGACAAATTAGATGATATCTTGACATTAGTTAGCAAAAATAAAAAACAAAGGATTATACTAGCAGGAGACTTTAATATTAATATATTACAAGAAGATGACACAACAAACCGATTGACACGCTTACTAGCAAATTTTAATATGAGAATGGAAATACATGATATAACAAGACCATGCAGTGGTACTTGCATAGATAATATAGCACATAACATGCACAGGTGCAAAGGGGAAGTAACAGAACTTAGTGTTTCAGATCATTCTGCACAATTAGTTAAATGCCCTGTTAAAGCAACATGTACTCTGAAACATTGGTATATAAAGAAAGAGATTATAGCAAGGATAATATGAATAAGTTTATGGAATGTATAAAGAATGTAAATTGGCTGCAATTAGATGGAGTATCAGATCCAAAGACAGCATTTTCAGTATTCTATGAACTTTTTAGATTATTTTACGGATTATGTTTTCCGGTATTTAAAGCAAAGATATCTCTTACCAAGAAATCAAAGTGGATATCACGCGGAATAAAATTGTGTAGCAGAAAGAAGCGACAATTATTTTGGAAGCATAGGTTATCTCAATACGAAAAACATCTAGAAGAATTTAAGACTTACACAAAACGATTTAAGCGCATTATTCAGCTAACTAAAAAAAGCGCAAAATAATTATTTTATTAAAAATTCAATAAATAAGTCAAAGGCAACGTGGCAAATAATAAATAAAAGTAACGCTAAAATACCCAAAATACATAGTGACAAAATATATCATAATGGACAAATTTTAACAGATCCAACTGAAATTGCCAACGCTTTTAACGACTTTTACATTGATCAAGCACAAGAAACAAATTTCAATAATGATTCAGCTGCCAGTACAAGCACTAAAATACCGTATACTTGTAAATCTATGTTTATGATACCAACAACTGAGAAGGAAATTCAGCAAATTATAAAGGATTTAAAGAATACAAAGAGTACAGGCTACGATGAAATAAACACGACAGTTCTTAAGCATGTGTCCGAATATATATCTCCAATATTGTCATACTTAATCAATATTTCAGTGGAGTATGGAATATTTCCGGAAGAACTGAAAATATCTATCGTAAAACCTTTATATAAAAAAGATAATAAAGAAAACATTAATAATTACCGACCTGTATCTCTCATTTCAATTCTGGCTAAGGTTTACGAGAAAGTCATTTATAAAAATATGCTCTCGTACTTAGAAACAAATAAAATTCTTATAAAAAATCAAAAGGGCTTTAGAAAGGGTCAATCAATGAACTTAGCCATTTATGAGTTACTGTTAATAGTTCTAAAAGCAATGGACAAAAGCAAACCAGTCATAGCATTATATATGGACTTAACAAAGGCCTTTGATTTTGTCAATCATAATATTTTGCTCGATAAACTGTTTAGATATGGGATCAGGGGAAATGTACATGAACTAATAGAATCGTATTTGACTAATCGAAAACAAATGACATGCATTAATAAAATATCGAATGAAACCAAAACTGACATATCGTATTTTTCTGCATCTAGAACAGTTCTACATGGAATTCCACAAGGATCAGTACTGGGTCCATTGCTGTTTTTAATTTATATTAATGACTTTCCAACAGCAACGTCATATCCCATGCTTATGTTTGCGGATGATAGTACTGTAATTTTTGACATTGAGCGTCACATTTCATTTGACCAAGAAATCAATAACGACATTATAAATATAATAAAATGGTTACAAAGCAATAGACTTCAAATTAATTTAAGTAAAACTGTGTACATTAATTTTAAACACAAAATTAACAAGACTCAAGAGGACCACGATATAAAATATCTTGATACAGAAATTAAGGAGGTAGTGGACACAAAATTTTTAGGGGTGTATATTGATAATAATATGACATGGACAAAACATATAGAGATATTGTGTATGAAACTTCATAGATTTGCCTACGCCTTGTGGAGGCTAGCTAAAGTGGTAGACAAAGAGGCATTACTAGTAACCTACCATGGATATGTCGCCTCAATTATAAGGTACGGTATCATATTTTGGGGTAATGCCAAAGATAGTCTGGCTGTATTAATCGCACAAAAGAGATGTGTGCGAGCCATTTGTGGTTTGAAGAGAATGGATAGTTGTGTGCCACATTTTAAGGAACTAGGTTTGCTGACGGTTCCTTCAATGTATATATTTGAAGCAGTCCTCTTCGTCCGGAAAAATCCCACACTCTTTGCCAAAGTAGATAGTACGCGTCGTCATTTAAATATTCAATTAGTAACACGCAAGACAGAATTATATAATAAAAATATCTGTGCGATGGCGCCAAGATTGTACAATAAACTTCCGAAAAGTATTCGAGCAATAGGTGACATTACCGGTTTTAAAAAACGTTTACATAATTTGTTAATATCAAAGGCATATTATACAGTAAACGATTTCATGAATGATAGGGATTTGAGATTCTAAAAATGACATTGAATATTATTTTAGAATTAGGATTAGTGATAGGGACTTATAATGTAATAATAATAATTTTGTAAAATTTGTAATAATAATAATGGTTTTCTAATGTAATGTAAATTTAAGACTTGTTATAAAATGTAAAAAATTCGTACGCCTAAGGGCAATGCACACTGATACACTTTAGTTGTAAGATCTTTATGGACGTGTGTACACGAATAAATGATTTTGATTTGATTTGATTTGATTTGAATTTTCTTGACCTTTTCATATTAGGGTTAGAGTGAATGGGGAGAGCGAAGGCAGTTGTACGAGACACTACTACTGAAAGTCATGCGGCACATACCCTATATGGTACGCCGATGGGAAACTAGACTGGAGCGCGCGGGGACGCCCGAACCCCCCCGGGAGTGGCCATCGGGTCCTTTCATCCGGTCGCCAACCGGCACGATGGAGCACCCCGGGATTTTTCGCGAGTTGGCGGGGCAGCCTTTCACTGGAGGCTAGTCAGCTAATTGGGCCCCCTACTACCTGCGGTCGGCCAGCGGAGCACCGTGCTTCGGATCCCGCTACCCTCCGCATCTAGGTTCCCAGCGCAACAACAAGGGAGCCCCGAGATCAACCAAATCAGTGCAGTGCAACTGTACAGACCCTTCACACCTAGGTTGGAAATATTCAAAACTGGTCTGTATTATAGAGCAATTAATATATATAATAAAATTCCTCTCACTATTAGAAACGAATCGAAAGACAAATCCTTCAATATAAAATTGCGTAATTTACTAGCCGAAAAATGTTATTATTCCATTGACGAGTTTTTTAACGATAGTTATTAATATTTTAATTATAGATTTTCATTTTGACATTATTTTAGATTTTGAATTTCATTTTAATGTAATTTAATTTTTTATTTGTACCTATCTTAAATTTTAATGTATTCTAATTGTTGTTGATGATTTTTGCATGTTAACTTATAATTTGCTACAATGTATAATATAATTAGTAATTTTACATGCGAACAAATGACATAATATTGCAATACCCAACAGGGTGTATGTACGTAACAGTGACTATTTTTAAGATCGTATTACACAAATTGTACATGCTAGCAATAAGATAAATAAATAAATAAATAAATAAATAAACATCGCCAACGCGATTTCAATACTCCAATGCACCGTTCCACGGTATTGCGTACGCGACAATGTTGATATGTGTAAAATTCTGCTGGAGATTCTGAAGCAGCACCAAGGATTGGTGTCATCATCCATGGACATTGTGCATAGCCAGAATCACCTGTTAAAAATTATTTTGTTTAATGTTATGTTATGATTTTAATGTCAAAAATTATTTGTAAAACTTTTTAATAAAAACGAATTCCAGCCTATAGAAAATGAGTTATATTCTCACCTAACAGCCAACAGCCTTCCCCAATGCTCTCCAGTCTCTCAAGGAATGATTTTACTGGTGACTGGTTCCAAACGAAAGAGTCATGAGATGCACCACCATATGATGCATCTACATGCAAAATATTTAGCTCACTATCACATATCTGCAATTGATAAGGAATACATTAATCACAAAAAATATAAATAAATACTCATTGAAATACTGATATTTTACAGCAAATACTATCACTGTTATAACTTACTAATAAAACATTCAGTGAATGGTAATTTTTCCGATTGAATTGCAAATTGTAATCATAAAGTTGTTCATTTTACAAAATAAATAAAATTTTCATGATTATAATGTCAATAAAACATTGGATAAATATGTGTAGCTAGCTTACTTTTAAGTCGTTACGAACAGCGGTAGAACGGCGCGTCGATGGCATATATGCGTCGATGACATATTCTTCCACCAATTCCTTAAAAGTACTTTTGGAAAGCCTGAAGTTTAAAATAAACTCTTCTTCGGGCAAATGCATAGGAGCACTACAAGCCCTCAGTTGTCGTTTTCTTATCCTAAGGGCTGCTCGCTTTCTACTATCTTCCGCATGTGCCAACAGAATAGCATGAGCCATTACTTATATTCACAAATTACAAAGAATATTACTCAAAGAAGCAAAATAACAAATCAAAGAATAAAACTAAACAAAAAACCAAACAAATGTTAGGCATCGTTATTTAAGCGCGCCTTAGTAAGACTGGCTTATCTATTTTACTTGGTCGGTTTATAGTGTTAATCACTAAGAAACCTTTAAAACACTAGTCGTTAGCAGTTGCTATCGGTCTCAAAATAAATTAATATTATTCACTCGGTGATGATCACTTTCATAAGCACTTGTGCTTACGGAATACGAAATAACGGTTATCGATACAAAATCAACTGTCAAAACGAGTTAAAGTGATGATCACTGAAGTTGACGTTTCGCAGTTGCTAACCATTGATAGAAATTACGAATAAGCATTTTTGACACAAGGTAGTTAAGCACTTTATTCGGTGATTATCATTACAAGCTGTCAGTTGAGTTACGCAATAGGCCTGCTGGTAACTTAAGAACAAATATTTTTTTTCAAGATGCACGCCATCTATCCCGTACGCGGGGAACTATTTTTATCAGTGATACCACTTTCTCGCGTTATACATTTTAGTACATTACATAAATTGTCAATTATGCTATTTTTCTTAGATAATTTAATAATATAACTTAACATAACTTCTGGTTGATCTGTAGGAACCAGAAGTTATGCTTAAAACGGCAATAATTCATTTATAAATAATTTATTTTATTTTTATGTTTGATAATTTTGGAATGATAGGGTTATTATCTGTTAGCAAATTATGGCAACACATACTAAACGTCACAAGAAAATTTTCTGCCGTTGTGTTTGTATACTCGTGCGCAATTTTCTCGTAATTTTGGTGTTTTATTGATATTTACGTTGAGTTGAGCTTCAGTTCCTCCGTATAATATTCCGAAATACCATCATTTCAGTATTGACTGTGTCTATTGTGTAAGTGTTTGTTACATACATAAGATAGGCCCTCCCTACGGAGTTTGGACCATATATCTCAGTGTAGTAATAGTTGGACGTTTTACACAATGCCTCGAGACGTCTGCTGTGTTCCTGGGTGTCTGGTCGTAGCAAAGGGTGGTAAGTGTAATTATGTTATTTAAAAATTAAACCTCATGTCATATCTGTATCTTCAATTATTCTGTACCTACTCTGGTAACTTAAACATATCGATATGTACATAAATCTGTCAGAAGATATCTTTATATCAATAAAAAACGATGAATTTCTAAAGGGTATCTTATTTATCGGACATTTTTAATGAGTTTAAAGGTTTAAGAAATATACACAGATATAACAAATAACTACAACTATATCGATGCTCGAAAGGCAAAATGGAATAAGCGACAAGAAAGAAACTTAAGAGAGCCTTCTACCTCGGAAATATTGAATGAAATTCACATAATTTTTCTTAGAGACTAATTTTTTTAAATAATATAAAGCTTTGTTTCAAAAATTAGTATTCAAGAAAAGTTATGGTGATTATTTTTTTTATAGTTTCGCCGATTTTATGGCTCTCTTGCAAATTTTGTGTCGTGTCGCTTATCCCATTTTGCCTTTCAAGCATTGTTATTTTTACGTAAAGAATTATTACTCATAGTCAATAAATTGCGTATCGGTACAAGTAATTTTAATTTTTTTTTCAGGTGTACCTCTACATTACTTTCCAAATCCTGAGAAAGATGCAGTAAGGTTTGAAAATTGGGTCAAGATTATTGGAGGTGGTATTGCGAGCCTGGACAACAACACTATCTACAAAACCCGAAGAATTTGTCGTCGGCACTTTGTAGATGTGAAAAATACACTATCTAAGTATTTATTGAATAAAAGTGTTGTGTTCTTCGTAAACAATTGGTGCAGAGAAGTCAGCAATGTCCTTACTGGCAAGAGCTTTTATAATTTTTCCAAAACAGATAGTGAAATGGACCGCATTATCGTACGGGCTCGAGAACATTATAATAAAAAAAAGGGTAGAAAACGAGAACGGCAAACCGGTGTACAAATAAATGTTTAAAAAAATCAATACCTTAATATGTTTTATTTATCTCTGTTCCTAACTTCATACACTTTTTATTATTTGGTACTAATAAATACTTAAAACTTGGGTGTTTTTATGGTTCTCGAAATATTATACTTGTTTGACCGACTTGTATAGAATCATTTACTTTATTTTCTGTAGTAAAGTAGTTAATCTCTTATTGCAAGTCGTGAATACCTTTGATATTTCGAGAACAATGAAAACATGCAAGTTTTGAGTATTTATTATTATCAAATGATTGAATGATATCCTATCTATAGATACGTAGCTATATATACGTCATTTAGTACTCCGCTTAGCGTATAGATGCCGCTCAGCGTCAAGAAATGACAGTTGCCAGTCTATCTCCAGTATTATATATTAGTCTATGGATTCGCTCTGGACCTTTTGGAGGGAAAAGTGTCGTTTTTGTTTTGACTTTCAATTATTTTGTGAAATCTAGTTTAAAGTGGAATAGGATAGTGCTATTGTGCCTTAATCGAAGATTAAAACGCGAAATTATACGAATCTCGAACTAAAATACCCGTATCGGCCCGTTCTAAGGAATCCCGAGTCAATCCAAGCACGCCGCACTATGGGAACCCTCTTAAGAGAGCCATCTCATAAATGCTTTTTACAAAAGCATGCGGGGATGCATGTATTATACCTTAAATCGTAGCTGAATAGTTACTCTATTATTATAAATAAGATTCAAATCTCTAACCATTCGTATGGCGCAGTTGAAATCATTTGAAGATAAGGAATAAAACAAATACAAAAACAACTTTGTAACTTTTATTTCTTCGATATGATTTTCTAGTATGAAAACAATAGAAATCATAGAAGTTTTACCCCATTTTAGAAAGCTTGGAATGTGTACTTTACTTTGAGATATAAAAAATGTGTAATTTAGCACAACATTATTTAAAGAAAAATATATAAACATCATATGTAATATTTTCTTTTTCTAATCTTTGACTTTGAGATATGACAGTTGCCGAAGCTTGCCGAAGTTCTATTTTTTGTGTTATTTTGTAAGAAATATGATATACTTAGATGGCAAACAAAAATTTCTTGCGGTTTCAGTGCGAAACATGTTTTAATTTTGTAAAATATGCAGTAAACTTTTTATTAATTTTAATTTCGTACATTAAGAGTTTCTATTTTTCGGAATTTTCTGCCCGTACCGTCAAAAAACGCATATGACACTATTGTTAGATTATATTTTATATTTTGCGGTATTTTTATCACATATTTCTCACAGAATTTGATTCCAATTGACAAACAGTACCATTAAAAACCGCATAACCGCATTATGATAAATTAGTTTTTATCAAGTAATTTTGCACTCGTCTTCTGTCATTATTTAGTATAAAACAGTGACTTTTTCATTAAACATTACAGTTCTTCATTAGTTTTTGTTATTAGCAAAAGTTTGTTACGCAGTAACTTTCCGCAATGAGTGAATTCTCGTGCACCAGACGCGACTTAAGTCTCGTGTTGATTGAAAATGATTCGAATTATGTTGTTTCTATTACACATTATATACGAAGCAATTTCACAGAATCTTCAGATGAAAACATAGCAAAAATTATAGCAAATATTCAAAAATCCTTCATAAACCAGTTTCGTCAACGCTTTTCTAAAGCGGGTTGAAAGAAAGATCTGTTTTTAAGCAAAAACAGCAATTGGTTGGATGGCATATTCACGGTGAAACTAGAAGAACCTACATGCCAACCTGAACCTTCTATATCAGAAGAAAAAAGAGGAAGACCTTCTAAAACGTACGAAGATAGTTCAGTGAGCACAAAAAAACGTAAAAACAAGGAATTGCTTGATTCATGTGGACTTGATTTCATATTGAACTCGTACATACAGGGCTTAAGGTCTCGTGGCGAAGTAGAAGAAGCCTTAATTGTTGAAGTTTTACGAACATTGCCGTCAGAAAAAAAAGTGAAATACGCAATAGTCTTCTTAATGAACCAGCACATATAACAGCGTATTCAAAAGACGAAGCACTCAGCATTTTTATAGAATTAAATCTGAACAAGGCACAGTATGACAATATGAGAAATTGTTTAATTACAAAAAATTGCTTATTGTTTCCTTCTTACAAGTCGATTCCTGAAGCTAAGCGAATGTGCTATCCACCAGAATCTAGCGTTGAAATTACTAACATAAAAGCACAAATAAAACTACAAGATCTTTTAGATCACACTTCAGCCAGACTTCTAAAAATTAATGATGTTTATAAAGTGGGTTCAACCCACTTAATGCTATATTCCAAATGGGGCTGTGATGGATCAAGTGGACAAAGCGAATACAAACTACCCCTGTCTGAAGAGAGTGATCTAATTTCAGACTCTACTTTATTTATATCATCTTTAGTGCCATTGCGACTTATTGATACCAATACTAATGAAGTATTGTGGAATAATCCTGTTCCTTCGTCAGTGAGATTTTGCCGATCAATTTTGATAGAATTTTCAAAAGAAACAGCTGAGAAAACGACACTGGTAGTCAGCGAAATTAATGCTCAAATTTTAGCCCTGAATCCTTCCCTAATTAATCACAATGGAGCAGGTATTGAAATAAAACACACGTTGTTTTTAACTATGATTGATGGGAAACAGGCCCAAGTTTTGTCAGAAACTTCCTCAAGTGCTGTGTGCACTATTTGCAGTGCAAGACCTACAGAAATGAATAATTTAGAAAGAGTGCGAAACAAACCTGTGGATGAAGCTTCTTATCAATATGGGCTTTCAACTTTGCATTGTTGGATTAGATTTATGGAACTTATTTTACATTTATCTTACAATCTAGGTTTTGAAAAATGGTCTGCCACAACAACAGAGAATAAAGATTTAAAAAAAGCAAAAGAAAGCTTACGTACAAAGAAGGTTCAGAGAAGAACTTGGATTGAATATAGATAAACCTAAACAAGTAAGTGGCAACACTAATGACGGTAATACAGCCAGAAGATTTTTCCAAAACTACCATTGTTCATCAGAAATCACTGGAATAAATGAGGAATTAATAAAACGGTTTTATATTATACTTCAGGTCATGTCAAGTGGTAGAGGTATTGATGCCACGAAATTTGGACAGTATGCATTCGATACAGCACAGCTGTATGTTAATAAATATAAATGGTGTTACATGCCGTCATCAGTGCACAAAGTGTTGATTCATGGTGAGAGTGTCATACGTCATTTTTCTGTCTTGCCTCTTAGACAACTCTCTGAAGATGCTCAAGAGTCACGAAACAAAGACTACAAGCAGTTCAGACTTCATCATGTAAGAAAATGTTCGAGGGCAGCCACCAACGAAGACGTTATACACACACTTTTGTATACCTCTGATCCATACATTACAAGCTTGAGAAAACCTTACAACAATAAATATTTGGAACTTCTTGATGAAGCAAAAGAGCTCCTGAGTGACTATTAAGCTATGTTTTTATGTATTCTTGATATTTAAAGTAGGTACTTCATCTTATTAATCTATAAATTTATAAGAACATGCATGGTTAAATCTAAGAAATTAATACTTTTTTATTCCTTAATTTTTTATAACTATAATAAATAAAATTTGACTTATAAAGTGTATATTATTTAAGAGAATATCTATTTAGGTATACCCAGAAAAAAAAATCAGGTAGATATCATCAAAAACACGGAAGTTATAGATTTATGATATGAAAAGGAGTCAAGGTTCCCATAGTGCGCCGCCTCAAATTGCCTGTCCTCTTTGTGGTGGCCATATTTACAGAAATATAATTATTATGTTTTCGGCTGAAGGTCTTTGTTTCCATGGCCAGCAATAAATTAAAAAAAAAAAGTTCCGCTTGACAGTTTCATTATCCGACCAAGTTAAATTGACACAGGTTTTCTACATTAGACAATTGCACAGAATGAGATACATTAAAAATTACTGTACGTTTTAATTTGATAACATAAAGTTTCGATTTTTGCGAAGAGCCAGTTTCAATTTTCATTCATTGTTTTGAATGTTTTTGTAAACGGTTGGCATTATACTTTGGAATTTCGTGCTATCTTAGCTCAATATTGTGCAGCGTATAGTTAATTAAGTTTGGGTATTGTGCTTCGGAGTTTACAAATATGACAGACATAATTTCGCAGGAGGAGGTATGTTGAACAAATGTCTACGTACTTGGGTACTAATGAGTGATTTATTTTAGATATTTTTTACATCAAAGCTTTAATTCTGGGCCCAGCTGTTAGAATCGTAGAACATACATATTCGAATATACAAAGCACATGGTAATAAATATATGATATTATCTTGCAGGCACAACAAATCAAGAAATTGAAAAGGCTGCTTGAGGGATGGCGTATGGCGTTGCTGCCGTTAAAATCTGTGCTGTTATGGGAACAGCAGTGGCACCCTTGCGCTATTCTGGGCGGGATCTCACTCCTTTACCTTACCTTTTGGTTCCTGGATCTGAATTCACTTACAACATTTGCTATTGTTGGTCTGATTTTGAACTTTATCGACTTCATTGTGCCAATAATTTGTAACTCAATCTACGGGCCTAGTGCCTGGACAGGGCAACAAGAGAAGGTGTATGAAGATATTTGCAAGAGCATTGTCCTTAATTACAATAAGTTCTTGTCCCAAGTTCGTAGCTTTTATTCGTTGAGAGAGAAGAGCCCTTGCAGGGTAAGAACAATTCAATTATATTCAAGGTTATGTAAAATCCAATTTACATCCATTATACACTACACACACAATAGAATATAAGTACGCTTTATTACTGACATATTAGCTGCCTCCGTGGCTGAACGGTTACCATGCCGGGCTGCCTGGCAGAGGTCCCAGGTTTGATTCCCGGGTCGGGAGAAATATTTGTATGGCCTATGTTTAATTCTCTCGTAACTTTGGGTGTAATTTGTGGTTGTCTATGTGTGTGTCCATGGCACCCACGACACAGGGTTTCCCTAGTGTGGGGCTATGTTGAGTGTGTGCATTATTATTATTATTGTAATAATTATCAATTGTCCTTTAATATGTTACTTTATATTTCAGTACTACATAACATCCAAAGGTTTGTTGTGCGTTTTGGCCTGGATTTCTTCATCTGTCAACCCCATGTTCCTGCTTTACTTGTTCTCTGTAGCTGTGTTTCTCTGGCCGGGTATTCAGAAACGCGGCATTTCCAACACATTTGTTTCTATGTTTAACAAACTACCAAAACCATTAAAATCTGAGTAAAAGAGCGATAACTACAATTTTTATACCTGATGTAGTGGATGGTTATTTCCTTGAATAAGTACTCATAATAATTGTAGCACTTAGCATTTTGCAAGCACAGGTTTTATATATGTGGTAGCCTTTATATACATCATTATCATATACATAATGGAAATTGTAAAGCTAAATGACACTTACATATGATAATTATAACTTTTTTGTTAAAAAAAAACTGACCTCTTACATGTTTTGGAATTACATCTATTTGCTAAGTTTTGTTGGAATCTGTTTGTGGAAAATGGGTGAAAACCAATAAATCAGTTTCATCCCCTAATTATCCATTCTTAGAGGTCAAATTTGAATGGAAGCATTACTTGAAATACCCCCTTTCCAACAAAAAAATAATCACTGAAATTGGTTGACAAATTTCAGAGTAATTGCGTAACACACAAAAAAATGTGATTTAATTGAGAACCTTCCTCCTCTTTATGAAGTCGGTTAAAAAAGAGTTACACCGATTTATGGATAATATTAGAGTTACAATATATCCTCCAATTTTACTATGCAGGTATATCTCATTTTCAATGTAAGTGTCATTTGGCTCCTTTAAAATTTCAACTGCGAATATTTAATTCTTGTCTATGTGGTATATCAATACTATGATATTTATTCATATTCCTTGTTATTCCTAAGAATCATGCCATAAAGATTTTAATTCACTTGTTATTAATGCTAATTGGACTTTATTATAATTTTGTAAGAAATCTTCAAAAACTTGCTAATATTACATCTAATAAGCTCCAAAATCCAATTAGAATTTATTTTAATATTACTTAACATGTATTACATGCACGCCGACTCCTACAAACTGTCAAAAATTTTGCCAAAAATTGCTGTGATGTTTAAAAAATATGCATGCATAGTAATCTGTTAATACCAATTATATGCCACAATCCACAGGTTAAAGTACCTTATAGCAATTTTTAATTTAATTAAAGGAATAAGTGTGCATTTGACCTCCATCTCATCTGATGGAATGTGACGATGGAGTACGCACACTGGAAAGGCTCTAGTTATAACGTTCAGGGTACAAGTCTGCAGGCGGGGAATTCCACTCCATAACCGTTCGCCATAATAAAAATGTGGAAGCGAAACGCTTCGTGTGAATCATTGGAATACTACAACATAGGGGTGGAACCCCAACTTACATATCCCCCCATAATGGAAAGGAGAAGGCGGAATTAAATCGTGCGATCCCAAAAATTTCGTATGGACTTCACTTTAACCGTAAAGTAATGTGGATTTAGCATTTTCTGAAAATTACTTAAGGCCTGTGTCACCGTGAGTGGTTATGTGTATTAGTCAACCTGCAGCTAAAGGTAACTGTAATAATAACAGATATTTATTGTTGGACTAAACGTTTATCATCATCTGTTAATTTACATAAATAGTCCGCTTGATTCTTTAAATTGATTGATCGATCCTTCGCTATTAAACATATTATGCTGCAAAAACACTGTTCGTAGATTATCATTGCATGCAACTGAAAACCGATCTTAATAACTTTACCTGTGGGTTGATGCATTATTATAGAAGTTTAGGAAATATAAGCTGTATGTCTTGAAAGACGAGTGTGTGTTGTGATGTATCTGGTCATTACGGTATTATGTTTAAGCTTAGCTTATGTTGTGAGCTTTAAATTAATGTATGAGTGATATTTTCGTTACATTAAAAAGTGGTATGTAAACGAGCATTTTAATTTGTTGTTACTTAGGATGTATGTGTTTAGACCTGTACGTCTGTATAGACTGATAGACAGAATACTTTCTATTGTATGAGTATATTACTTTTCTTAATATGCATTTCAAATATTTGCCTGCCTTAAATTATAGCGTCACCATAATGGAATTATTGAAATTTGACTTGTAAGTGAAAATGATATCTTAAATAATCTCAGTACAGAGTACTAAAAAAACCGACCTCAAAAGTAATCGGTTACCGGAAAGTGCGCAAACCCGGATTCATCCCCTAGTTCGTCACTATACGAAACTTGACACAGGATATAATAAATCGGTTCTCTCAAAGTATATAGAGAGAAAACGCCTTGAATTAGAAAATAGCAAAATCAACCATTAAAATAATTGCTCCATAGAATAAAATTTAGGCGCTATTTATAAAAATGAATCATTATGCGTGAACAGTCATCCTTAGAGGTGGATGATTTTTTCAAAATTAAATGGGACCACTATGGAGGTACCCTCTCTCCAACAAAAAAGAATCATCAAAATCGGTTCACAAATGGCGGAGTTATCGCGTAACATACATACAAAAAAAACAGTCGTATTAAGAACCTCCTAATTTTTTTGAAGTCGGTTAACAATCATGCAATGTGACGAAATCTCAACTTGCAACCCTTACAGTTTCTGCCTTACTAGTTAGTAGGGTTTCATCAATTGACAATTATAAGTGTGATTTGATATGAAGTAAAGCTAGAAGTTTAAAGTTGTGTTTAAGCGGTTCTAGCAAGTATAATATTATTCGGTTCTAGCTAGAGTCAAATGAGTAGTTGAAATTGGTCCGTCGTCGTTTCCTATTTACAAGGTTGTGACAGTCACGCTGGGATAACCTTATTCTGGCGATACCAGAAAAGTCAGAAAATGCTACTGGACCCACTAGCCAACAGCCCCAAAGATAAATTAGCCCATTCTAGAAAATATCGTGTTCAGATTCAATTTGAAATGTTATCGAGTAGTAACTCCTTTGTTCAAAAGGTAACATAGGGCAAGTTATTTCCTTGATATAGAAAAATAACATAATGGAGAATATATTATGAAGAAAGGCCACCAATTGCTTTTTTTATGAAATGATTGCGCTCCAAAACAAGTTGCGGTTTATTCGGTTCAAAGTTTAAGGTCAGTAAAACACACTGGCGCCACAAATTCTACATTTTTGCTGCTCAGCTATTACGACTACCTATAATTTCAAACGGCCAGTATCTTTACAATCTTTACAACAGGAGTCGAGACGAATCCTACTGGACTCACTAGTGGTAGAGTGGAACCAATAGTTTGAAAGGAAATTTTCGTTGTACCCTATTACGGTGACGCGAGAACAAAATACACAAAATATCAGACAAAAGGTCCAAGCACAACTTATATAGTGAAGTAATGATTTTTTTTGCATCAGACATTAGGTAATCTTTAAATCACTAGGGAGTAAAAATGAATACAAATAATCTGCATAGTAGCTGTATATTTTAACATAAATTCTTAAAACTAGATCACTGTCGTATTGAGTCCATTGAATTATATAAAGCACTAGATTAAAACTGGCGTGATTTTATTTTCATTATATAAAGCGAGTTACAGTACCTGATTTATTCCTATTGCTACAAAGTAATGCTCCCTCCCTGGCATTCAATCTGAAAAATTTAATTTCCTAAGTACAAATATATATTATTCCAAGAAAAATCTCGAAACGTACGTATTAAATTAGCTAAAATATAAAGACATAATTCGACTCATATCATAAGCATACGTGTAAAATAGCCTCAAAGTCTATATCGTGATAAATAACAATTTTTTTGTTATAAAAACAATATCACATAACAAAGTAATGCTATTAATGGAGACATATTGAACCATTATAGCTTTAGCAATACCTGCATGCAGTGCAAGTTTTTTTTTTATTTGCGGCCTGTTGTGGCCAGCATTGTAGACTACAACCAAATAGTTCTTTAGAGGTAATCCGTGTCTTGTAGTGGGGTTCAGGTACAGTTTCAATTATTGAAAATACTAAATAATTATAAAAAAAGTGGTGGCATAATTTGTTGATTAAGAAAATCGATCTTATAGATCTAGAAATCGTGTTATAGCTAAATGTGCTATCTAACTCTAGTGATGGTCAATAAATATACATAGAGTGACCCACAGTTATGCGACACGAAGACAAAGTAGGTACTTTAAGTAATGTAAATAAGATATTTTGCTTCATTACTTTTAAAAATAATATATTGTCTCCATGAAGCAAAATATCCTATCTACAATATTTAAAGTGCTTTCCCTCCGTGTTTTATAAATTGTATCAAGTATAAAGGGTGCAATAAAAGTAGGCTCCACTCACAACTATCGAAATTCATGTAAATTAAATAGCAAATGTCGTGTGTATTTAGTTCTAAATTGTATATTTAAACACCCAATACTATCTAACAATTAACATTGCATCATACATAAATTTCTCTAATGTACCTACGCAACGTCCATTAAAAGGGAAAATTCGTATTATGTATTTACACGCAAATAAATAATTTGAAATTGTGCCGAGAGCTATTTAAAAAAAAAATCGCGAGTTGTTTAATGTACATAATTTTAAAACAAAACTATAATAAGGCAAATCTTAAATTCACACTGAGCGCATATCGCGGCGCGGTTTACATATATTTTATATGTAAACTCTATTAACCGCGGCGCGATCACAATTTGTAGAACGAACGCGTCGAAGTCAACATGTCAAGTATATAAAACGTACAATACGCGGTAATTTTAGATTAATCGAGAAGTTTTCAAACGTGCACTACGAAAAAGAAGGCTTTTCTCCATTTCAGATACATCCTTTCATAAGTAGTCGGCTAGAATGTCGCATTAGGCTAAGTTCAGTGACAAAAATTTTACGTTTATATATTCATACATTTTACATATCGACTGTGAACAGGCAATCGGTACTATCTCAATTTTGACAACTTACCAGGTGAAGAGAAAAATTGTTTGCGTCATTTATATAGCATCTGGTTTATTAAATAAAAAAACGTAGTTTTTAAATATTTTTAATACACATGTATGTATGTACACTACGTATTTTTATTTAATAAACCAGATGCTATAATATATAAATGATTTTTTCTTCATCCTGTAAAGTTGTCAAAATTGAGATAGTACAGGTTGCCAGTTTACAGTCGATATATTAGTTCACATGTATGTGCAGTACCGTGGCGTTCAGAGGAGATACTTCAAAACGCGCGTTACCGCCCGCGCGTTTATATCTGACAGTGTACTTGTTTACGTTCACTGCACGTACTTGTACGCACCGCGCGTTGCTTCTCTTTATCAGAAAGATGCGTGACAGGTGTGTGTCCATCTGAACCTAGCCTTAAGAGCCAAAGCGAAGCGGAGAAGAGTTGTCAAAATAATATAGACATTTCCACGTCGGCTTGTGAAAATAACAAAATACTATTGACTACGCGGCATGCAAACGTCAAAATAACAACATATTATTAATTAACTAAGTGACATGGAGGTGTCAAAACAACCAAATAGTATTAAATGAAAGGTTTGGAGGTGCAAAACAGTTTATATAAAATGTACTTTTTTGTTTAACGCGAACATACTCATACAGCCCCGCACTAGGGAAATCCTGTATCGCGGGTGCCACGGACACACACACACACATATACAACCACAAAGTACTATTATAATAATCGACTAAACGGTATTTAGATGTCAAAATAACAAAATACTAATCCAATCAAACCAAATCAAATTCTTTATTGCGTATCATGTACAAAAATATAGTTGTTAAAATGTTGTCATGAACCAAACCTGTAAGGGAGCTGATTACTTTTATTACTAAGCGGCTTGGAGGTGTCAAAATAATGTAATACTATTAACTGACTAAACGGTATTTAGATGTCAAATCAACAAAATACTTCTATTATTAAGTGCTACTATTGCATGGAGACGTCAAAATAACAAATTACTATTGGGAGATGACACAGATCTTTGCTCCGCTCCGCTTTTATAGATACAACGCTTACTCACATAGAAGGTGTTATAAAGCTTTGATTACATATACCAAAGAATGTTCTGTTGAAGGGTAAGAAAACAGTAAGTATAATCTGTAAATAGTTCATTGACTTTTTATTTGTAAGTCAATGAGATAGTTCAACTGTGTCTATATTTCTTACATGAGCATCTACTTACTGCATTCATTGACAGGTACAGTTGCATAGAACAATCATTATACATAATGGTGAATATATGACTAAGGAAGGCCAACTTGCTTGCTGGCTGGTTTTATATAATTAAGATTCCCTGCCAACAACAGCACGTAGAGATTCTATAATATTCGAATCGCAAAATTACATTATGTATCACATTTTGTAAATCCTTAACTGTCAGTTATTGTAAAGCCAGGTTTAACATTAACATTTTTAGCCTTTGTTATTAAAGGGACAAGTTGATCATGCGCTACAACAGACAAGTTATTGCTTGACTTACTCTCGCTTGATTCTGGTTTTAATTGATCTTCAGGCACTAGTGTGGTCGTGAATCTACTGCCGGATACTTGTGTATTTTTCATTGCGCTACTGTCGCTATATCGTCTACTCCCGTTGTTCAGCATATCCTTTTTTAGTTTTGTTTTGTTGTCTTTGCTTTGCAAACTCAGTGAGTCTGCGTGAAAGTTCAGATGATCGGGTTTTGTGCATTTGTTTTTGATGTCTAAGTCTAAATTTAAATTTTTGGAACTGGAAGGCATGTCCTTGTAAAACGTTTCTTTTGTTTGTTGCAAGGTGAGTCCGTAGAAGTCGCTGGCGCTGCTTGTTGAAGGTTGGTTGTCGAGACAAAGGGAAGAGACGCAATCTTGTGGGCTGAGATCGTTATTGATTATTTTCACTGGCGAACCACACAGGTCGCCCGAAAGCGTTTCTTCGTCGTCTTCACCTTCAGCGCTCTGCGCGAAAAAGATAAAAATATTCCGTTTTATTGAATAATAAATAAAATTTTAATTTAAAATATTTAATAGGTAGTGTTTTTATTACCGTGATATTCAGTTATTTTTTGCGAAAATACTCCAATAAAGAAAGAATCACAATTAGCTGTCCAAAATGTAAACAAAGAAATGTCATTGTCAAAGTGTGAATGCAGGTGTGCTAAACCTCCTATTTTTAACTTGTTATTTTCTAGAATTTTAATTGTCTATTACAAAATATTAACAATAAAAACTTAAGCAACAACACTATAATTTAACAAACGCACTACGGAAAAAAGAAAACATTCGAGTATGAGAAACGAAGCACGAATGACATCTATGACACGACAAAATGGCGGTACAAAAATGTTTTTGATCCCGATTGTGTACCAGACTCATAAAATTATTTACTACCTTGAACATAGGTTTTTATTATAATTATTGTATTAACGACATTACGTAACAATATACAGTGTTTTTTTTAAACGGGACAGTATGGGGAAATCCGAAACCACAAGAAACTACAAGGAAACTTTAGTATGTAGGAACCATTAAGTCTCAAAAATCGGGATCTAATTATGATGTAAACTATAGTTTCTTAGGAAATGAAACTATTTTTCCGGATTTAAAACGCGTATATTGGTTTTTTTTTCAAACAAACCGACGTTTGGGGCCCTTTACAGGTCATGGGACAAGTAATAAATATACGCGATTTAAATCCGGAAAAATAGTTTCATTTCCTATGTGTAACAATCGCGAAAACCTAAGAACTCTATAGTTTCTTATTATTATTGATACAATTATTGAACAAATACAAAGAAGAAATCAAGACTCGATCTGTAGCTCACTTGGTAAGATCAGTAGCCCTTAAGGAATTTTTTGTGGTGTTTGTTCGATCTTTGTATTAAGGCGCTCCTTCATCGCCAGCTTTCGCTTGTAAGGTAACAGTTCAAAAGCGAGCATTACAGCAGAGTGGGAGGAGAACCGAGCATTCGTTGCGCAACACTTGTAACATTCGGTAGCATCCTTCCCCGGAAGCATTCGCCTGTAATGTAACAATTTGTTCAGATTGTAAGGCTGTAAGGCTGCGACTCCACCAGATATATTGGAAATGTTTTCAGTCTTTGCTTAAGTTAGGTGCCTGCGAGTGCCTTTGAGCTATTGCCGACTCTTGGGGGCACTTCTGGCTCTCGCGGGCACTCAAAGGCACTCGCACGCACGCCTTGCTATTTCGCACATCTCTGGTGGAATCGCAGCCTTATCGAATCTTGAATGTTACATTACAGGTGAATGTTCGCGGTGAGGGAACGCCCTTTGTAATAATAAGTAAAAACATTATATTTGATGTTTTCACTGGTGTGTTTAAAGTATAAACCGATTGACTGTAAAGAAAATCAAGGCGAATAAATAAAACGTCCTTTGGTAAACTTTTGTTGTACGGTGGATAATAGTCTGTATACTTCATACCATAAGGTCGTGGTCAGTGATGGAGCCGGCTGTCGCCTCGTTGCTGTTGAACTCGAGCTCTGAGGCGATTGACACCGGCGTAACGTCGCCACTAATAGATGAACCTGTTATATCAATTTATGTGTTACATTTTTTAAAGCTGGTAAATTTTAAAGATCCAAAAGAAACATACAAGTATTTATTACCTTGGCGGCATGTTATCAGGCCTTCCTACCATATTTTGGAAACTTCGCTGACAACGATCCTGGCATACTCTTTTTGTTTCTTCTATTTATTATTAACAGTCAGAATATGCCATACATATAGGTAAGTCTGTCGAGAACTGTACAACAGCAGAAGTAAAAGATTGTCACCTAAAAAAATGGGGGTTGACATATTTCTAATATACATAATATTTTTTTAATAATAACGCGCTCCCTCAACATAGCCCCGCACTAGGGAGACCCTGTGTCACGGGTGCCATGGACAAATACATAGACAACCACAAATTACTCCCAAACTCATGAGAGAAATAAACGTAGATCATACAAATAATTCTCCCGGCCCGGGAATTGAACTCCCAACCTCTGTGTGGCAGTCCGGCATGGTAACCGTCCGGCCACTGAGGCAGTTTTTTATATATAGTCCTTTTGTTTAGGTACTTAACTAAATGTAAACAAAGTTGAGATGTCTATTTAATGAATAATACATTTATAAAATGTTTTTTACTTGCCTTCAAATACAAAACACAAATACTTAGCTTCATATGAAATTGCATGGACATTTTCATAAACATTGATTTGTAAAGATACGTTTCAATAAAAAAGATGTATCAAGATATAGTTTACACTTAGTCAAGTACCTAAACTAATGGACCATTGTATACTCACCGTTTACAAGTAAAGTATCTAAATTCACAATAGTTTCCTATTGAGTAGTACCAAGTTTTTTTACCTTCTTAAAATGTTTATAAGTAAGTACAACATGCGTATATTTATGGGTTGAGAGACATTGTGTTATAGTATTGCTACTATTCAGAGAATGTGTTTTACAAGATAATAACAAAATGTCATGCGATTAATGCAACATAGTTCACCCATTGTACAATTTACATGCATTATTGAACACATAAAAGTATTGATTAAATAAAAGTGCAATAACTTCTCAATTTAATCTATAATTCGTGCAAAATAGTTTGAACGGACGATCTGTGTAAGTACATGTCCAGATTCTCGACAAATGCAACGCGCTCCCTTTGATAAACTTTAAGTCGTATTTTAACAAACACAGGCGATTTTGGACAGTACCACAAAATAAATACTCTGGTATTTATTCTATTTGATGAAAGATGAGAGAGATTTTTATTATACAGTTAGCGTAGTGAATGACCAGTTCGCACGTTTAAGTAATACTTACTAATGAACTCGTGTAAAGTGGCCTTTATAAATCATTGTTCAGGTGGAGATTTTAGAATTATAATTTTTTTTATTTTTTTTTTATAATATCAAATGACGGGACGAACAACTCATGCGCCTCATGGCAAACTACACGCCTGTTTGTAACAGTTGCAGTACCTCACAGAGCTTTAAATCGTAAAGATCTGAGGTGCACTCCCACTGCGCCCGTCACCCTGAGACATAAGTTGATAAGTCCCATGTGCCTGTAATTCCACCAGGACCCTTACCCTTCTAAACCGGAAAACAGTAATGCTAACATTACTGCTTGGCGGCAGAAACAGTTACGGTAGCAATACTTCCCTGGACGAACTCTTTCACAAGGAACTCTACTATACAAATAGAACACGTGACAGTTTTTTGGGAATTGTGAAACTTTGCCGTGATATCGTTACGCTATAATACAGCTTGTGTGATCTCTATAAGGTGCCTGCTGCATTATTAACTTAATGACTTCGGTAATATCCTCGGATACATGTTAATAATGGCACAGGCAATCGTGATGGCAATGTGAAAGTGTGAACGCTAACGTATACCTGCAAGATTGGAGTGCGGCATGAAAGGGTGCAGGCTGTCGTCGAGCGCGCACAGGGTTGCCGCTTCGCCGTCCCACTGGGGGAGCTTGGCCGACGCTACTCTACTCCAATTGCTACTGGAAACCCAATATTTTACCTCGCCTATCATTTGCCCCAAAACATACAGATAACCGAATGCAATGTTTACACCGACATCTATACACACACACACACACACGAAACTATATACACACATAACTGTTGTCTTTATTTCTGTCATACATTTACTTGTATTACTTTTATTATGTAAAAAGTTTAGAATTATTATAAGTGTAAAGTAAATCCAGTGGAATACGTAGCGTCTATCATACATACAGTTCTATTATTTTATTAGTGAAACGAATACGAGCGCTAATGTTCAATCTCGTCTTAAAATGTTCCACGCATAAAAATGCTACACGTAATATTAAGATAAATTGTCTTGACTCAATAAAGATTTCTGATATCGAGTTGTTAGGTTTTCACGATTGTTACACAAAGGAAATGAAACTATTTTTTCGGATCTACATAGTGTATATTTGTTTTTTCAAACAAACCACAGTTTCCGGCCCTTTACAAGTCTCTTTTTTTTTTGCAAACAAACCAACGTTTCGGGCCCTTTCCTGGTCCCAGTACAATGGTACCTGTAAAGTGCCCAAAACGTTTGTTTGAAAAAACAAATATGATTTAGACCCGAAAAAATAGTTTCATTTCCTATTGTTTCTGATACAAGAAAAGTAAACTAAAAAATAATTAACATGTAAATTGAAAGTTTGAAATGATTTCAGGTTTTTGAAAAGGCCGTTAAATGGCGTGTCCAAGTCTTTTATGATTCATGACGTAACTTGTGCCATCGTAATTCGTCATCAGAAACTTAATTTTCTTTATAACGAAACATTGAACATTGCGTAGTTAAATACAACGTAGGTCTTTTTAATTTTATTCAGCTGAAGTTTCATACAACGCAATTTTATTAAATTCGGTAGCACATGTTTTGGACAAATGATAGTGTAGGCTGTCTCCTATCTACTTTATCTCTGTGCTGGGTTTTCTTAAATTTAGATTACTACGTTTTTTTATGATGCTTTCACAAAAGATTTTGCGCAATTATTTAGACCTAGTATGAGGTACTTATTGTGTGGCCGTAAGGGATAGCACTCAACAAGTGTAAAGGGGAATGAAGGGTCTTGTTACTTTGTTACGGGACAAAGAAATGCCAAATATAATACCATAGTATAATAACAGAAGTACTGCAAAAGTACGGACGCACACATTCGCGTAAACTCATGATGCATTAGAACTGCTTTGCGCGGGTCGCACGTCCTATTCTAATCGGCAACAACAAATATTCCACCGTTACGAAGTTATTTAATTTTATTTTTTTAATATTTATAATATATATTTTAACATTTTTTTGGGTTTATAAAATACTGCACGCGCGCTGCACGCATGCAGTATGCGTGCAGAGCGCGCGCAGCGCTCATGCAGCGCGTTCGCGGCCCATTCGCCAGATCTGTACGCTACCTTAAGTTTTTGCGATTGTTAGACATAGGAAATGTAACTATTTTTTCGGATCTAAATACGTAAAAATATCATGGGAAAAGAGCGAAAATTGAAGTAAACAAGAAACACGGTGGAGCGGATTAAGCCTCACAACTACCTACGGCGAGTACTAGTTTGCACGGTCACACTATAGTATTATACTTTGTGTACTTTTGGAGTATAGTTTGAAGAGAATGTCATACATATGACTGACTATGATTAAATTTATGACTTCATATTGTTTTTTCGCGTTAAACAATCCATTAGAAAACTTAAAGCTAATCTATTATGATTAAAGCAATGTGCTTGGGTTCATTTGAATTGCCGATTTAATTCTTAACGCGAATGAACAATAGAAAATAATAAAAAAATAATTCTTCTCTCTCTTGGATTTATTTGACACAGAATTTCTATGAGATTTTTATAGATAATCTTCCAACTAATTCTGCCACACCCCAACTCAATCTACTTTTAAAAATACCGAGCTAGATCTAAAGTGTTTCAAAAATTTCGAACATTCTCACCTACGAAAATTCAACTACACAAATCTCAACGCCTTACAATCAGAGATCACGAAATTGTCATAGAGTTGATATCTACAGTAGACATCGAGTATTTAACCACAAGTAGAGACAAAGTAAGGGCCATCCATCCCTGGTAACTCATCAGGTAAATGGACCTTATATCGCTTTTAAATAACAACTCTCGTTTGCGCTGAAATCACAAATTAGACAACTGAAATAGTACAGGGCCAACAACTGACCTGTGTGTACGTCTCCGTATATTCCAAAAATATTGTGTATTTATTGTACTAAAGATAATATCTCTAACAATGCCGTGCTGTTCTATTCGGTGGTGTGGGAAAGACAGCAAAACATCCAATTACAAAACAAACGGAATCACATTTCATCGGTAATTAAATATGTAATTTTGCAATTTTCATCTATTATAGCAAAGTTCCAGTTAAACTGGTCCTATTGAAGTGAAACAATTGACGACACCCGTCAATTCTTTCGAATTCGGGCTAGCCAATCGGAGCGCAGTTGTCACAGTAATGATGTGGCAGAATAGTTTTCAAACAAATGAAATGACCTTTGTCTCTATTTCTGGTTATATACTCGATGACAGTAGAATAGCGATCTCTGATTGGACGAAATAGAGATAGCCGAAAGTTAAAATATAATAAAATCCGAAAAGTTGGAAACAATGAGAAATTACCAAAAACAGATAGAAACAGGAAATGGCACAGAGAACACACTCATGCGATCTAATTAGTCTCACAATGCGTCTCATGTGAAAGCAACATTAGCCACATGGTCTCTACACACGACCTGAATAGATAGTAATATAACGTTCTTAGATAGTGAATACAATTTTGTATTGCATCTTCTCTCTTATTAGACTCATAATATCTTGCATAGGGTATGGATATTAAGGTAAACGCAGACTTGAGTGTAAGTACAATTTACCACAAAGAATTCGAAAAAGTATGCTTCCACCTTAATAAGGCATCAACTTTTAGGATATATTTTAGGCACTATGTCAAAACTGAACGTCAAGCCGTGTGTAAAAACCTTTATTAAAACTACTATATATACAAAGGATGAGGAATTACTGATCAGAAGCACTAACTGGTAACCAGTGCTAGAAAAAGGTCAATAAAAATAACCTATAAAATATCAATTTTATAAAAATGGCAACATTTTACTTTTATGTATTTTTTTGTAATAGCGGCGTGTGGTGGTGGCGAATTGGCTTTTATGAAAACTGTAAACTTATATTTGTATTGCTAGCAAGACAAGGTGCGATTAGCGCGAGAGCGACGTAAAGCGCGATATTGATATAATTAATCGCATAGACATCACGCGTTCTATATCGCTCTTGCGCTAGTCGCGCCCTATCATGCTATTCCTACTGGTTTGATAGTTGGCTCCAGTCTATGCAATTAGACGAAGCCGAATAAAAAAATCATACTCTTGCCGTCGGTAAAAAGGGCGTATGTGACATTAAAAAATAAAGTATATTGCCGTAATTAGTAGAAAAAGAACAAGTCGCTATTTTTAATTTTTCCTAAGTGGAAAGAGGAGTAAATATTTTTTTAAATTTCTTTAATTTAAACATTACTTTCTCAGTTTTGATTTTTGTCACCCATGTGCCCATTCAACTAATGGCGGCAGCGTACTATTCCGACGTATCAGATTTAGATTTTGCAACAGTATTAGGTTTGTTTGTCACCGATACATACAGGTAATGTTAAAATGATGACAAACACGGTAAAGAAATATTTTATTTTTTTGCGCGAAGATATAAAATTCCGTACTTGTAGTAATAGCTTAGCACAGAACTTTACAGCTAGTGAAAAGAACATCATAAGCTTAATCATTATAATTGTATTTTATAAATAATACACGATTATATGACACTTATTAACGACTTGGTTTGCGAAGAAACGTTTGCCAAATTTATACGTGTTCAGCCAAGGCTGCTATAGGGAACAGAAACGGTTCCAAAATAATGTTTTCATACTAGCCAATACTCCACACTAACGCCTAAGTAATGTTCCGCCTTTATTACGGCAATGATCTAACAGAATAAAATCTAAAGAAGAACTTATTAAAAAGAAAGGTATTCATATATACCATTCTGAAGAGGTGTTTTTGTGCTCCGAGTTGGATGCGTAGTTGGAGTTGGGTGAGGATGGTCCGGCGGAAGAGAGGCCGCTGGGCAACTCTCCTGAAGACGACATCAGTGACGAGGGACCGCTCCAGCCGACACCTGTTAATTACGGCTTCAGTAGAATTAAGAATGTCGCCTTTAAAGGCGTTTCTTCTATTTATTTTAGAACCAGTTTCGTCGGTAGAGTAATCTATACGAAATCACATTATTTTGTCCTTATCTCGCTACCTCCAATGGACGCTATGCCAACTTTTTTTTTTCATTTTCTATTATCTTTGTAAACAACTATATTTATCTACTAATATTATATTCCCCGAATTTCGTGGAAAAAAAACAAAAATATAAATTTGAAAAAAATAATACGAATTTTGTGAAAAATAAAAACAAAGAAACAAAAAAAAATAAAAACAGAACAGGGGTCCTACCCTCGTTCTCCGTCCGAAACGGTTACTGTCAAATAAGTAATACTCGACCAAATCAAAAAACAATGTCAAGTATGAAGCTTGGTCGAATATCACTTATTTTGTAGTTATTATTCCGAACGTACGCCGCATGGAGAACGAGAGTACAGGGCCAGGTCGAAAAATTAAGTAGGCGTAGTGTTAATTAGAGATATCGATCTGATCTAAATAACTGCGCCTAGGTGTTCTCCAGCCTATCTTTTCTTATGCTTGAAGGGGGTCACCACATCTATCGACACAGAATCGACTTGAGGCGGTTATGTCTTATTACATTTGTCGCATTAAGCAAATTCGGCATCGCGGCCGTTCTGAAAAACTATCATATCGTATCCGATGCTCAAACATTTGTTCTTCCTTCCTTCCTACCTTTTTAAAAGTAGATTGTAGTGCAATATTTTGCCGCTAAAGGTGCTAGTAATAATTTTAGTAATTATTACACATAATTATTTCTAGCTTCTACGAAACGGAGTATTGATCTATTTATTACATATTTCGATGGGTCCTAAGTATAAGGGTCAAACCTCAAAACTCTATTTCTGGTTATATGCTCGATGGGCCAAACTAACAATTTGATTATTTTCACTTCTTTGTGGGAAATGCTTCATTTCATTATAAAATTAAGCATTTCCCACAAAAAAGTGAAAATGATGAAATTGTTAGTTTGGCCCTTATACTTAGGACTTACTATATATATATATATATATATATATATATATATATATATATATATAGTATATTATATTATATATATTATATTAAGTAAATATTTTTGAAATAGCACGAATTCCTTTAATAAATTAAATTTACCCGATTGAGCAAATTCGTAGTGACCATTTGTAGAAAAAAAAAAGGGAAATTATTCCCTACTTTTTGGATATGCTTGGTTATAAGGATTGCAGATGACGGAATTTAGTATCAAAAATCAAATACTTACTTGCATGTCACATTGAAGTGACGTTTTTCTATATTTAAGAGAACTATAATCTATAATATTCGTACTGTTGGTAGGCGAAGGCTGCTTTGGCGGCGGGTGTTGTGGGAGCTGTGCGGGCGCAGTGGGCGTGCCTAGCACTACCGGCGCGGCGGTCACGCGCTCCAAAAACGCGTCGAGTTGTCGCAACGACAGCGCGTTGTGTAGTGTCTCAAGTGGACGGATGGCTGGCACCCCGCCGAAACCCTCCAAGGCAGCTAAGTTAGCGAACAAATTACATATCATACGATGTACATAATTCAATTTTTATTATTTTCACAACTTTGTGACTAGATGAAACAATTTGACGATATTAAAAGTGTTTGTGCGATTTGCAATGAAGTTTTACCGTAAGGGTGCGTTCCCATTACGTCGTAACGTTTTATTTATCGTTGGACACTGTCGCGTCTAGCCTGTTTTCATATTACGACTATCTATCATGACTGTGCCGTGGACGTTTATTTTATCGTTGCACGACTGTCGTAACTAGCTGTTCCCACTAGATCACAATTTATCGGCTCACGGCAGCCTCATTGTCGCTTGCATGACAGAATCGTTTTGAAAGGGTTGTAACCCTAACTAGGCGTGACCAGGTTCACGGCAATGAAACGGGAAACTTCCGGTCCACAATATGTATTAAAAGAAGTAAAGTAAAACGAAAAGCTGTAACCATAAAAAGGTAAATGTAAAAAAACAGGTACAATAGTATAAAACACTCCCTACACTTTATGACATTATTTACGATATTAAGGGACTTACCCCTAAATGGGCTGAGTAACTGAATTACAGATACGTAATCTTAGGTACGTGAAGGCTGTCGACTGTTATAGAATATTACACATGATTTAGCTTAATTAATGACGATTATAAACGTAGTAAAGAACCAAAATTAGCGATTATACGCGATGGAATCCGACTGTTGTGGCGGTCGAGCAGGGAGTGACCGTGGTACGAAACAAAATGAGAAAGCGAAGGAAGATGGAACAATTCAAATTTACAATTTAAATACAAGTAAAAGAAAAAAATATAGGATACAAGCGGAGAGAGGCGATACAAAAAGGTGAGATGACGGTGTAAGGAGGACACACCGTCACAGTTTGAAGTTGCGAGTAGATAATCGCCACACTTTCGACTTTGATTTTCATCATTTTGAGTTTTATCGTGACGTTTTATTTATAGTCGGACGGCTGTCGTTCTAGCTGTTCCCATTGTCACAACAGTCTGTCTTCGTAACTTCAAAAAAGTCGTGAATGACAGGTAATCGTGTTGTACTATACGTGAACAACTTAATTTAAATATACAAACCACGACATTTTAAACTACACGTCTATCTGTCGTCAAGATATAATGGGAACGCGCCCTAAGTCTACTTCGACGTGACATGAAAATGTGATAATTTAAAATTTAAACTTTTGAAGTACAAATTACAGAACACAGATTGACAATATTATTTTTAAACAATGAAAAGTGAGACATCGGTAAATCTATATTCCAATGACAACAGTACACATCATATAAAAATTAGAAATAGCGTGATCTTGTAAAAATAAACATAATTAAAGGATAAAGAGATAATGTTTAAAATAGTTAAAAATACTTCGTATTAAATATGAATGCGGGAAAGCTATAATTTAATATTATCTTGGTTGTAATACATCGTAATTATTTGTAATCAAGTAGTAATGTTGCGTAGTTATTCCATTTTTAATCCATTAATTAATAATTGTTATATTAAAATTAGGTACATGTTGTTTTATTGAAAGCTTGACGGGTGAGAGGATGAGTGCATTACGATTCAACTTACTTGATTACGATCAGGCACTCCAGTAACATAAGAGACGTCAGCTTTTTATGAAATATACACTCCCACTGAAGAACACGGGTCTATTTGGAAGAAAGAGTTTAGAGCCCTAGACCGACACGCTGCTGGTCTAATGCAGTTTATGAATGGTAAGAAATAACAGTTGAAATAAATAATGTATAACCGTTTTTTAATCGACTTCAAGAAAGGAGGTGGTTCTCAATTCGACTGTCTTTTTTTCGTGTGTATGTTACACGATTACTCCGGCATTTGTGAACCGATTTTGAAGATTCTTTGTTTGTTGGAAAGAGGGTACCTCAGAATTGGTCACATATCAATTTGAAGAAAGTATTTCAACTCTAAGGGTGGCACACTATGGGATGAATCCGGTTTTTGCACACTTTCCGGTAACCCAATTTCAATAAAACTTGGCAAATAAATGTAATTCCACCAACTTTTGAGGTCGGTTTTTAAATTTAAAAAGTTCTAATAATTATTATTATTTTTCGTTTTTACCCACGCCTTCGCTTTCCAGAATACAATGATTGTGGGTATTCCTTTAAAATATTCATGTAAACACCAACTTACACCCTTGATTATAAATCGGAATAACAATATCAGTAACTGCCTTTAGAAAATCATGATTTGTCGCAACTCGGCCTCGTAAATCGTAATAAGGTACTCACTGTTGTTGGCGTTGGCGCTGGGAATCATGATACGCAGATTGGGCGCGGAGCTGGAGCCAGAGATGACGGCGGTGCTGAAGAGGCCGGCGGCGGCGCCGGGCAGCTTGCCGCGCGCGCCCAGCCCCAGCATCTTGAGGTAGCTCATCTGGCCGGCGATGCTGTGCCGCTGGCGCCGCCCTGCGCCCCGCCACGTACAGCCGGCCGGCCCGTCCCGGCCCCCGCGCTCGGACGCGGCCAGGTGCGGCCACGAGGCCACACGGCCCGCAACCGCCGCGCCGCCGCGCCCGAACGTGATCGCGGACAGCGGAAGCTCGTTAGTGGAGGACTCGACGCCGTCCACGTTAACCACGGGGGTCTCCGGGCTCGGGCTCGGACTGGCCATGAGGCCGGACGGCGTCGTCAGCGTTAGTATCGGGAGGATTAGTCGCGAGCCTGCTCTTATGACGTTTAGTAGGGTGTTACGTGTTACGTGACGCGGATGACATTAAGACAGAGAGGCGGTGATGGGAGAGAAAATAAATTCATAAATAAATACATAATCGTATATAAAACAGTACAGTAAATAAATCGGAGGAGATACTGTGCGTCGGTAAGCGTGCTCGTATGATAGTACTGCGGTTTCGAAATCGCGGTCGTCATTCACTAGTTATGTGAAGTATTTTCCGTAACCCAGCGCGTGCCCCCGACGATTGCTCGCCTCGGGAGACGGCAGCCTCGAAGCCGCCGGTTCCCCCTCCGCTCACAGCTTTGTGATCGCAGGAGAAATCTAGCGACGGGAGCTGGCGTCTCCTGCTCCATTTGCAATCACATCTGAGACTGTATTGTATGTACAGAGCGACATTAGTGTTGTTATTGTAATTGGGCATGCAAGGTTTAGAACAATTGTCAGAAGCACACGGATGCGAGGAGCGAGATGCAGCGCAAACACACAAGATCGCCGGCCAGAATGAGCTCGCCAAGTCGCCACGCGCTACACACTCGAAAGGAATTAAGTAAACACACGAAATATTAGGTACTGTGCCATAACCATAACGACATAATATAGAAAACGGCAATTGATGACATGATATATAAAATAGGTGCTGTTGACTTTTAACGGAACAATTGCACTAATTTGATCACTAATATCCAATGATAACATGCATTCTTGTCTTTATCAAAATAAAAATAATAATAAAGAAACAAGTAATTCCAAATTCAGTTGTACCATTTTTCTAATTATATTTTGAACGTTTAGAACACGTTACAGAAGCGAAAAATATTTAAAAGTAAAAAAAAAAAACGCTAAGTTCCAAATTGCAAACAGTTCACAAATAATAATTTAAATTTTGTGACCAGGTAGCAGTTGTTGTACGGACCTTGGTCGATGTTCTGCAGGCTGCAGCGCAGACTTGCAGCCAGGCTGTCGCGCGACTCGCACTCTGGCGGGTGGTCCACCGTAAGTTATAGCCAAGTGAAATTTGCAGTAAATCAGTCATAAATTTAGTTTGTACTTGGCTAATGCACTACCGAGCGCTTATAAAAAAAATACATAAAGGTCCGGCAGAGCAAAATCAATTGACCTTTAAACTAATAATAGTAAAATATAAATTAACAACTACGCTTTCTTCGTAATAGAAATTTCTAAACTTCTAGTACGTTACTGCAATTTGCACTATTCAAAGCAGCTCAGGCTATCAGTTCTATAACTACTAGCAAAATAAACAAACTATAACTATATTATGTACAAATTAATACGTCTACCATGAGCAATTTCTACATGAAATTAATGTTTGAAGGGAACACCCCACTATACATTACTTCTTCTTAAACTTGAATTTTGAACGATGCAAATACGCCATCCACTAAACTTGGCTGTTAATTAGGCTCAAAAAAAAACTACAATTATTTTAAATACAGCTATCTTGTTGTTAATAAACGATATTTATTTCGAGTTACTTTCAAATATTACTAACACACTTTTTTAACACTGTCTCGATAGTTTTTGGACAACTTGGCCTGTCTTAGAAAATTATAAAATATTAAAAATATAATCTCAAACAAGACCAACTTCAGTGGACAAAATGTTTTGCAGTTAAAAAAACACTATATATATATATAATAAACTTGTGTTTGATTGTTGCATGTAGTGGCAACCTTTAATTGAGTCAACACTTTAGCACTACTACATTTGAATTGTATAATAAAAACAATTGTATGTTTTAAGTGCATGACTTGTTGGTTGTCTTAATAAATAAAAAAATAAAATCCTTAAAAATAAAATTACGGAATTAAGTTTTTTATTTATTTAAAATGATAGAACCTAACAGGTACAAAATCAGTTTAATTAATTGAACTTTTAAGTTGGGCTAATTTGGCATAATTTACAGAAAATGCTTCTAAAACAGGCTCATCTAGTTAGTAGACTTCGGCTAACTGTGACGTAGGTATAAACGGACCACTTACCATTGTCGTGTTGTTTGTGTTGGTCGTAGCTTCTTGCGCGAGGAGCAGGCTCTTCACCTTCCTTAGACTCTTTCTCTTCACGCTGGAAGAAGGCGAGTGAGTAACTTTATGGGTTCTATTATACAGGGTGTCACAAAAAGGTTAAGGCGGTGGGGATGACCGCTGGGTTTTAGTGGGTATGCAGGGGCTACCGCCTGAGTCGAATGGTATGCGTAACTTATTTCCCAACTTAAAAAAAATGTTTATTTGAATAACAAATGAAATATATATTTTTGAGTTTGAATCTCCCGTTAAAAATTATAGCCAGCTCATCATTATACATCTTATAGTCTGTCTATTTTGAAGATGGAGTAAAATTACTTTTGCAGGTGTTGCCAATTTTTATAAAATTTTAAGTAGTCATGTAGTTGTTGTCGACAGTTTTATCGATAGATTGTGAAATAAGGTAAAAATTTGCCAAAAATGTTTAAATGTTACGACATTCTAAAGATTACTATTTGCGTTTTGACTACTTCATTCCTATTTTAATAGTTGGCCCCCAAGTATCGAATATATTTTTATTCATATATACTATTAAAGAAGAACAGGCTGATTTGATTGTCTATATTGAATTAAAATGAAAAACTCTTTGCATTTTTAATAGACATAGTTCAGAATCAACTTACAAAAATTAGTAATTCAATGAACCTGTGCTCAGCAGCTGGACGGTTGATCGGCCGATGATGAGTCAAATGAAACAAGTTCGGCTATTTATTGCATAAGCGTGAGCAACGTTCAGTCGATAGTCGATGCAATATTTATCGATTGCAATCCTGCTCTTTTTTTTACTCCATCTTCAAAGAAGATCGACCATTTATGGTCGCCTTACTTTCTCAAACTCTTAAAGCACAAAGTTACTGAAATGCAAACAGTGGATTGTACATACTAATTTGATTATATACTGATTTCACATCACTTTTCCTTCATATATTCACACACTCGCTTTTACCTATTCTTAAAGTAATGCATCCATATTAACACCCTTGATAAGAAATTTAAGATAAATAGACAGTTTTGCCATCTCCTGAATAATGACTCTTTATAAGATATGAGTTACTTCGAACTGCTCCCGTGGCCGAACGGCTACCAATTCTTCGGTTGGCCGGAGTACTACGCAGAGGTCCCAGGTTCGATTCCCGGGCCGGGAGAAATATTTGTATGGCCTACATTTATGTATTTCTCTCGTGAGTTTGGGTGTAATTTGTGGTTGTCCATGTGTGTGTCCATGGCACTCGCGACACAGGGTTTCCCTAGTGCGGGTCTATGTCGAGTGTGTGCGAGTGTGCGTTCGTAAACAGTTTATAAATCGATATGTCACAACGTGACGGGCGCAGTGGCGGTGCTTCTCAGATCTTTGCGACTTAAAGCGCTGGGTGGCACTGCAACTGGCATCGGTAGGTAGGCATAAAAAAAGAATTTCTTCCGTGAAGAAGCACTGCCTAAGTTTCTAGTTGATTCATAGTTATACAATAAAATATGAAAATTACAGCGTTACGGACCTGCGTATTGTCTCTATTATCAGCAGCAGCGTGATTGCGCGCGCGCAGTTCTGCATTGAGCCGCGCCGCCAGAGTCGATGCCTCGTGGCCGCTCACCGTGTAGTGTAGATTACTACAACAGGACGTAATCAACGACGTACATTTTAATTATCGTCCTTAGTTCTTAAATCTAGATTTGCAATATTTATTTTGAATCTGGAATTGAATATTTACGGTCTGATAAATGAATGATCGGAGTGATGAAATTATCTACCTAAAGTATGCACGTTTTCTTAGCATGGACATTCCCATTTCGTTATCAACAGTTAGCATTTTATAATTGTAATAATAGAATGTGTTTATAATAATTATAATTGAACATTACATTATACAAGTTATGAGTATAGGATTTAAGTAGCCATGTCATGTTAAATATTAACGTTTAGGAACTTAATTATACAGCCTGGTTATTATTGTTCATTAATTATACATCTCGTAAATTATTAATTATATATTCTATTATATCCTTATTACTATAAGTAAATTTAATTGTGGTTTTAAATAACAAATGTTTTGTCTAATCAGTGTTGAATATAGGATTAGAATTTGTCGTTTTCCTATTTAAAACGGGTTGGGATAGTAGGGTAGGGGTAGTCAATAAAAACTGTGTGATAATGGTAAGATATTCAGTTCTGTTGTAAATATTTGGTTTGAAAATACGAATGAACGCATAGTGCAAAAAGTAGTGCCTCTCTTTTTTAAACAATGAGCAGAATATTTTTTTACTGTTTATTTTCTAAACATTCCAAAACATAGTTTGTCTCATGTTCGTTTTTTAAATGGCTAAAGTACTTAAATACGCAAGCACCTATAGAAACATAACTACAATAATCTTAACCGACTTCAAAAAAAGGAGGAGGTTCTCAATTCGACTGTATGTTTTTTTTATGTATGTTACGCGATAACTCCGGTATTTGTGAACCGATTTTGATGATTCTTTTTTTGTTGAAAAGAGGGTACCTCCATAGTGGACCCATTTAATTTCGAAGAAAATCATCCACCTCTAATGGTGGCTGTTCACGCATGAAGATTAATTTTTATAAACAGCGCCTAAATTTTATTAAAACGATCAATTATTTAAATGGTTGATTCTGCTATACTCCAATTCAAGCCGTTTTTCCCTCTCAATATTACTTTAGACTAGTGAGAACAGATTTTTATTATCTCCTGTATCAAGTCCCGTATAGTGGCGAACTAGGGGATGAATCCGGATTCGCGCACTTTCCGGTAACCGATTTCAATAAAACTTGGTAAGTTCCAAGTACTTTTGAGGTCGGTTTTTTTAGTACTCTGTACGGCAATAAACACTTAATAGGAAATAATAATTTGTCGGCAATTCAAATATAATCAGTTCAGAGAAGTCCCGAGATTTGTAGAAGGGAATGTCCACGTTATTCTTTAGTTTAGCTAAATTAACTCCCTCAACTCCGATCACTGCTGATACTGAATGATATGAAATAAAATCTAGTTCGAATACCTTCAGGCCATAAATTCGCAACAGTGGTGCGTTCAGGTATGCGCGTACATTGTGTCTTGTGTTGGGTGTATCCAACACGATACACGTTGTACGCGCAAATTTGAATACCCCACTGAACGCATAGTTCTGACGTGCGTAAAAATAACTACGCGAAGAGACTTTGCGTTAGTGATCGCATTCAGTCAGCCGTGACCATGGAATCTGTGAAGGTCCGGAAACGTTGGCTTGTTTGAAAAAACAAATATACGCCATATAATCCGAAAAAATAGTGTACCAATCGATAAATCGAAGAACTCGGTAAGAAATTTCGTAGTTTGAGGCCACGTAATTGGTGTGTTTAGCTCTTGTATTTAGGTTGTAGTGAGCGAGCACTTACCAAATAGGTATGGGATCAGAAGGTCGCATCTTGGACTTGGAGTTCTTACAGGGCGAGAATGTGTTGTCCAACTCGTCCACGTGATCCTGGAGAAATTGGTAATAAAAACAATCAGTTTTTAACTCAAACAATATAATAATGACGACTTCGGTGCCGAATGAGGTTTCGGGTTCGATTCACGGAAGGACCAATTTGGGAAATGAACTTTTTTTAATTGTCTGTGGTCTGAGAGTTGTGGGTAGTGTGTCTTAGAGTGAATACCGTTGCTCTAGTACTAATAATAATAATAATAATTACCAGCCCGTTGCACCAAGTACCAAGCAAAAACGCACACACTCAACATAGCCCCGCACTAGGGAAACCCTGTGTCGCGGGTGCCATGGACACACAGATAGACAACAATAATTACACCCAAATTCACGAGAAAAATAAATGTAGGCCATTCAAATATCTCTCCCGGTCTGAGAATCGAACCCGGGACCTTTGCGTGGTAACCCAGCATGGTAACCATTCGGTTACAAAAGCAGTTAGTAGTAGTAAAGGGAATCCCCTGACGGGACGAATAAGTCGTGGGTTTGACCTACTAAAGGACTCGCTTGTCCCTAGCAGTTACCAGTCACACTGCCACTCAGACCTTTAAACAGCGAGTATATAACCAGAAATAGAGACGAAATAAGGGCCATATATTCCTGGTAACACATTAGCGGTACAGCTCTTATAAATATCAACTCACGTTTGCACTGAAATTTAGACAGGCCAAGTACTGACCTGTGCGTATGTCTCCGTATATTCCAAAAAATATTCTGTATTTATTATAATAAAGATAATATTTCTAACAATGCCGTGCTGTTCTAGTCGGTGGTGTGGGAAAAACAACAAAACATCTAATTACAAAACAAACGAAATCACATTTCATCGGTAATTAAATATTGAATAAATAATTTTGCAATTTTCGTCCTTTACAGCAATGCTCAAGTTAACTGGACGATTTGAAGTGAAACAGTTGACGACACCCGTCAATTGTTTCGTACTCGGGCTAGCCAATCGGAGCGCAGTTGTCACAGTAATGATATGGCAGAATAGTTTTCAAACAAATTAAATGACATTTCGTCTCTATTTCTGGTTATATACTCGATGCCTTTAAATCACAAAGATCAGGGGGTCGACTTAGAACCTTACAATAACTCAGTTGTCGCCCTATTCGATTTGATATCGCACGATTTCTTTTCATTTTTATTTTCAACACTCGAAATGAACGTCAAACTGTTCTATTCGAAACCGATCCGAAACAACGTCACACCCGTAAGATTACTCGAACGTCTCAACCGGCAATGGCTACAAACGTTATTCAGAATACAGCTATCGAATGCAAGTCACCGAATTTTTGCTTTGTAAACAATAGGGCGTTCGAACGTTTAACTCGAATGTTCTGAATAGCTCGGAAAGCGCCCTTCGATTCGAGAACGATATCCAATAGAACAATTCGGTTAAAATATCGAAGAGTTCTGAATCGGGGTCCTGAGCTGCCACTGCGCCCGACACCCTGAGACATAAGTTGATAAGTCTCATGTGGCTGTAATTTCACCAGCACCTTTACCCTTCAAAACTGGAACGCAGTAATGCACACATTCCGGCTTGGTGGCAGAAATCGGTAAGGTGGTAGTGGTACTTCCCTGGACGAGCTCTTTCACAAGGAGCTCTACTGCTATTAAATTTTTATGTGGTTGTATGGCACATACTATATATTATCATTATTGTATAAAATAAAGCTATATATAACAAAGCAGTGTGGCCTCCATTGGCACAGGAACGATAGTCGCACTTGCACATGTACTGATGTTTTTTAGAAGGAACACTTACAGGCTGTAAAGTCTCTTGGCTGGCCATTTGATCGTCTTCCCCTTCTTCTTCTATGCATTTGACTTCGTCAGACGAACTCTGAAATTACAAAAGCAAAGATAAAATGGAATGCATGCACATTAGCACCTTATCTAACAAACGCAATTCGTAAAGGAATAAAAATGTCGTTAAATTGTAAAAACATCAACCTAAATTTCCGCTTGGAATGGAATCAGCTTTATATAGAATAAATCGGGATTGTGTCGAATAGCGTTCACGTAAATTTAAACCTTATTCCAACAAATTACAGTTTAATTTGTTTCAATATCAGAATCGTTGCCAGATATAAAACTTGCTTAAAATAATGTAACAAAATTATTATAATATCAAATTTCCAATTCCAATTCCATTGTGTGACATATGTACCTATATCTATTTGTGTGTTTCTTTTTAATAGGAATATGTAAAGAATGTATGTAGAAGGTCATGGTAATTCGTAGGTAATTAAAATAGCAACACTCAGCATTCATGAGTTTGTTTACAAACTTATAATTTATAGTATCGCGACGGGCTCCATAAAATGTAAATTTACTTTAAAACTATATTTACTTTATGTGTAGAATAAGTTAACCTGCGAAATTAAGTGAACTAGTATCTTGTGTGCTAATAAGTGTTGTGTTTAAATGTCGCCAAGGCGCCATTTTTAACGGAAAAAGAAATTTTCTAACTTCGAACTTCGGCTTTACCTACGAAAATTTTCACACCTCGTCACTGCCACTTATTGAAATGTTTTGTACAGTGGTTTAGCGGTATACAGGAAGGCTTGTAAAGTTTATGTTATACGGTAATATTTTCGTGTTTTAGTGCTTTTGAAATGTAATAATTTGGGTAGGTAGTTAATTTAATTTAATTTATATTAATATGGATAATATGGAATTTTTATCAATATTACGTAAAGTAACGACTAAATCTATAAATTATTACCAATATAGTAACTTCCTGGTGATTTGTCCCTGGACATTTAAAAAAAATTAGTAACTTACAGAATTGTTAGTAGTAGAATGGTTTCGACTATGTGGTCTGAATCCGGGACCTGGCGGCAAATTCTTCTGCACACAACAGTTCACACCAGGACTGAAATGTAGCTCCACGTGGAACCTGCAATCAATGCTATCCACCTCAGGCCACATTGTGTTAAGGCATATATCGCACGTTCCAAATAATACAGTCACAAAACGAAAAAAATCATCTTTCGGAAAATTAACTTGCACGTTATGAAGTGTGTTATCGGAGGAGGTTTCCTCATCAGGGTGCGGTTATTTGCACAGGTTACTTTTCATTCATTTAATGTTGGGTGGTTTCAATCCGTTTTGTCTGAGCCAACAAGCAGTGCCGCAAAGGTTTTGTATACGTTAATAAGTAGCATATCGATTTATGTGTTTGGATTCTATTAAGAGCTTTTTAGATGTATTGTTTTTCTAATGGCGCTGACATGTTCAATAATTATCTAAGTTCTAAATAAATAAAAAGTAACAAATTTTTGTGTAAATATATTTAGCTAAATTTAGAAAGCGAGATTTTCGCTTAGTGACAGTATTGATTTCAACGTGCTATATTTCTTGTTCGCTTTTTTATTTTATTTACGTTAAGTTTATAACGACTTCACGTATTGACTGCATGCAGTCAGTTTCGACTGCATGCTGTTAATGCGTGAAGTCGATATTTGAGACCTCGATTGCGTGAAGTTGATAACGACTTCACGTATTAACTGTGAAAGGGTTGTAATCCTAACAACCGTGATCCGGATCACGGCAGTAAAACAGGAAACTTCCGGTCCAGAAATTTATTTAACTTGAAGTAAAAGGTAAAGTAAAGAAAAAAAACCCCTAACGGGTTGTATTTATTTTGAATTACAGATAGACTGTTATTCGCTTATTATGGTCGATACATGATTTACATTGATTGTATTATGATTAAACTTGAAAAGAATTTAAAAAATTAGACAATTTGATTTAGTAGTATCCGCTATCGCGGTCAAGCAGGGAGTGACCGTCGAAAGAAATAAAATCAGAATGCGAAGGAAAATGGAACAATTCCAAATTTTAAATTTAAATATGAGCAGAAGAAGAAAAATGATACAATACGAATGGAGAGAGGCGATACAAAAAGGTGGGATGACGGTGTAAGGAGGTCACACCGTCACAACTGCAAGCAGTCGAAACCGACTTCATGCAGCCGAGACGTCGATGGTCTTCACGTCACTCATTAACTGCAAACATGTAGTTATCTGTTAGCAGCCTCACACTATAGAAGTATTCTTACCTCTCTTCAGAACAAGGGTCTTTGGTTGGATCCTCGTAGAGCATCACCACAATTTGGGACATGTAGTTCAGTTCTGATACTGTTGACACATACTCCATTGCCCGTCGCCACTGCTCGTCCTTTAGCACCTATAAGAAGTAGAAATGTTAGAACAGTTTGTTTTTTTTTCTTATACCAAGTGACGGAACGAACAAGTAATGTGCCTTGTGGTAAGCGACACGCCTGTCCATAACAGTGGCTGTGCCACTCAGAGCTTTAAATCGCAAAGATCTAAGGGATACTGCCACTGCGCCCGTTGATGATGTTGTTTGTTGTTAATAGATCGTTACTCACATCAAGCAATCCGCCAAATCTCAAGACAGTGAGTAGCGAATGCACGTGGCTCTCACTCGTGAAGTACAGGCGCGTGCGCACGTGTCGGCCCGGGCTCGATACGCCGTGGCTGTACCTGTATAATTGTCAAAATTTATAATATAAGTTGACAAGTCCCATAAACCTGTAATTTCACAACCACCGCATGCTCACATTACTTGGCGGCAGAAATAGGCATGTTGGCAGTGCTTCCCTGGACGAACTCTTTCTTTTCTTTCTACTACTAAAAAGTCCCACGGTGACGGCTGATCGAGATGGTAAAGTCATCAACTAGTTATGTCATATATTAATGTATGAACATGTCATAGATAAACCTACGCATTCAATTAAGTTTGAAAAACCCCAGGTCCGTGCAAAAGAAGTTAGTTTTCTACCCAGACCATTGATATTAAAAAACAGTCAGTCAGCCGTGGAAAAAATAATATATAATCAACAGAAATTTCAGGATAGAATTTCGTACTAAGATTTGGAAACGGGAATAAACGCGTTTACATACGAATAGGTATTTTTCACACCTACCTAGTTTCCCGACGTTTCGGCCAGGTTGCACTGACTGTGGCCACGGGCTCGCTGGTGATGCGGTGTTTACATTTCCATCTCAGCGGTGGAATCTTCATCCACCCGCATAACGTTTTTTAAACTACCGCCACACACAACACTAACGGTGGGACACTAGGTGTCGGGAAACTAGGCGGGTGTGAAAAATACCTATTCGTATGTAAACGCGTTTATTCCCGTTTGCAAATGTTAGTACAATGCAACGCGAAAGTTTAAAAGTATACATAGAATTTCGTATACGAAATTTACATATATCCCTCTATAGAGGGATCATGGACTTGTATGTGGATATTATAAAGGTCTTTATATCATGTACATAATATATTTATATTTTGATAGTATTTCCTTAGAATAATAACGCATAGAATGATAGTTTCATATCAAACGAACTGTCACAAGTAAGGCAAAAATCAAATTCATGTAGGCTAGTTTTAGTAGTAGGTTAATTTTCGGTTTTAGTGAATATTTATATAAAAATACAAGTTGAAACGCGTTACTTCCTTGTGGAATGTGATGTTAGTATCTATTTTATGTTTGTCTGACGCATTTTTACACTCATTTACCGCACATTTCGTCATTTTTAGTTAAAATTCTTGAGCTGTTCGCGGTGCAAGTTGACCTTGAGCACTGACGGCCCGCCCGCTCGTGTAGGCCCATGCATTGGGCGCGCTTCAATTTGCCTCACTTAGCGTGTGCGGACTAGGTTTCTATGCGTTATTATTCTAAGAGTATTACGTACAATAAACGAGGAAGGATTTTTTAAATAATGAATATTACCTTGGATTCAATCTATTAACAGTCTCCTCTCCAGTCTCTTCTATATTTCTTTGCAGATCTGCTCTTATTTTCTTGAGAAGCGGTGTGCATATGCCCTGTCCAATAGTTAACTTCTCTTGCATTGTCAAACCGTACTCCTAAAATGATAATAATTTATAAAATTTAGATAACCGTCGTGGTCTAGCTTTACCCGAGTTCATTTCCCGCACGACCGATTTAGGAAACGAATTGTTCTAAATCGACATAGACATTTTTTATTGGTAAAATTTACATTTATTACTTTATCATTTACAGTATTATTTTCATATATTGCTACTCTAGTCACATTCACAATTTTTCGAATTATAATTAATTCATATTCATCTTTATTTGCTTGGGACACGGTTTTGCAAAATTCTTAAATATAATGTTCTCATACATGCGACACCCTGCACGGACGCGGCAAATTTAAAGAGCACTACAAACTAATATTCTACCGTCCACTAACAAAACGCGGCCAAGTGACAACTGGTCAAATATCCGTTGTTAACAGCAAAAGGTATAGCCCAAAGTTCTCTTTTAAAAGCAGTTAAAATTAGTTAACGTGTTCGACGTATCGGAACTCGCCCTAACGATGCATAGCTGAAATATCATTAAACAATACCAAAATTCTAAAACTGGGTTACCTACGGTTTTTTATTAAATCTCAAAAAAATATTTTGTCACTTACCCGTGTTTTAGTTACTATACGGCAATATCATGAACCAATCAAAAGTTATTTGTACATAAAATAATTGTTAAATTACTTGTACTGCTAAATTTAAATAAAATACTAATTATTCAAAATGTCCTCAATTTTGTAAAATACTTCCTTAAATAGGTATATTTTTAAATTTGTGATGACATTTGACAATTGTTCCTCGTTCTATAAAGTTTTTAATATTAATAGACCGATAGTATTAGTTTAGTCATCTTATATTTCTTTTCAACCGACTTCAAAAAGGAGGAGGTTCTCAATTCGACTTTTTTTGTATGTATGTTACGCGATAACTCCGGTGTTTGTAAGCCGATTTTCATGATTCTTTTTTTGTTGGAAAGAGGGTACCTCGGTAGCGGTCCCATTTCATTTTTAAAGAAAATCAATCCACCTCTAAGGGTGAATGATCACTCATGAACATTCATTTCTATAAATAGCGCCTAAATTTTACTTAAGGAGCAATTATTTTAATGGTTGACTTTGCTATTCTCCAATTCAAGGCGTTTTTCTCTCTCAATATACTTCGAGTAGTGAGAATCGATTTTTATTACCTCCTGTCTGAAGTCCTATATAGTGGCGACCTAGGGGATATTTCAATAAAACTTAGCAAATAGATGTAATTCCACATACTTTTGAGGTCGGTTTTTTTAGTATTCTGTACTGAGATTATGGACTCTAATGACAGCTGTCATTCCTTTTACTCGAAAACTCGCGCAATGTAATAGCGGCGCTAGAGAATATTTGCAAATGCTCACAAAAATTACGATTATTCAAAAACTACTAAACGATTTCACTTGCAATAAAAAGAAGACTATTCTATGATAATGTAGTGTTTTATTTGATGAGAAATTCAAAGTGATTTACCACCTCATACCATCACAAGTTCTCGTCAAAAATACACATAAGGGAAAATAAATAATATAACTTAGTAGTATCCAACACGGATACAGATAAATTATTATTGAAAATGTTATGCATATTTCATGAACACGTAATACTTTTTGAAATGTTGAATAGATACCTAAAAAATAAACTTCAGTAGTTTTACGTCTTTCATAGAAGCTAATTGCACTAAATAACTTTGAAAAAAATTGGCCGGTTTCCTTCAATGCTCACCAACAATTTTTAAAATGAAATCACTCTATACCACAAACAAATTGTCACAAGTATTATACGAGAAAATAAAGAGCACAACATCCTCTTTTTAGTATACATACCTCCATAATAATACTACTATATGTGCTCCTGATTTAGTGTTGGCATTATTTGTGAGTAATGACATCAATAAATTAGGAGTGCAGTAGTATTTTCTAAAATCGGAAAACTGTAATCTGTAAACGGTGTTGGTTCCTCATTAAGTCATTATTTGTTAGTTATAGCTATGTACTATTTGTAATGTGTAATTGTTTGTTGACCTCAATAAATAAAAAAAACATTTTTAAAATGAAATCACTCTATACCACAAACAAATTATCACAAGTATTACACGACAAATTAAAGAGCACATAATCCTGTTTTCTTCCATAAAAATCGCTACTGGTATAATGGTTGGGTAACACCATAATTAACGTTTGAAATGCTTAGTGTTTGCGTAGAAATTCTTCGGCATTCGGGCACATTGTGTCGTGCGTACGAATTCATACGCATTTGGAGTTTAAACCGTAATAAACGACAAAAGAATTACCTGCGGTATAACAATATCAGCAAGATACTTCGCATAGATATATAGCTCCTCCGCCAAATCGAATTGCAATGTGTGTTGATTATGTTGCAAGTCGTATTTGATACAGTCGTAAATGTCGGGGATTTTGGAGATGTCGTATGTTTTATTCTTCGTGCAGAAGTCCTTTTCTATCTTGCCCCAGCGCCGGCCCATTAGCTCCCAGGTCTCGCCGTGGTAAAGGATTGTATCTGGAGGAATAGAATTTTTTTTAAAAAGGATCCGACTCCAAACTTTGCTTATATGTATGTACATATAAATTGAAAGTTTTTGTGAAGTGAACGTTTTACGAAAGATTGTAGAGGTGTAGTGCGGAAAGTGGGGGCCGAATTCTCAAGGTTATTTGCTCGGGGAAGCGCCTTAAGAAGTTTATTTACAAGACAGAATCTCAAGAACCATAGCCACCAACGTAGAGTATGTGATGAGCAGGCGACAGGTTTTCACAGATAGGGCTAGAAAGTTCAGGGTCTTCGAGTAGTAACGAGTTGGAAGAGGTCTGGCGAGGGCCGCAAGGAGTTGAGACTCGAGAGCGTTCTAGAAGTCATAGGAATCATCATCATGTAGTGCCTCTCCACTACTGGAGGCTGACCGTCAGCTTAGAGAACTCTTCCCTGTCCTGAGTCAAGCGAAATAGATGTTCTACGCTGGCAATATTGGTCATTCCCGGATGTTGCGCAACCACGACTTCTTCCTTCTTCCAGTACGTCGTTTACCCTCGATCTTGCCCATCATTATCAGTTGGAGAAGTCAGTACTTTTCATGCCGTAGAACGTGTCCAAGATTTTGCTTTTCTTGACGGTCTGCAAGAGTTCTCGGTCCCTCTCAACGCGCTGAAGAACTTTTGGAGTCCAAGCCTCGCTACCGAATAAAACTACAGGCAAGACGTAGCAGTGGAGCAACCTCATTGGGAGCTTTATTGACAGTTTGCGGCTGCACAAAACCTTCTCCATTCTCTTCAATGTAGTTCAAGCAATTTCTATTCGGGTTCGAATCTCCTGTTCGCACTCTCATTCTTCATTCACCCAAGCTCCAAGGTATTTGTACATCCGCACTCGCTCAAGATTTAAGCCTGCAACATGCATTCCGGGATTCAGGTCTCTGTCGTTAGTTACGACTAAGAATTTTGTTTTGGACACCTTCATATTCAGCCTCGCTCTCACACGGCACTCATAGATTCTGCCCAATATTTCTTGCAGGTCTCGCTCTGTTGAGGCTATTAGTACAGTGTCGTTTGCGTCATAGGGATGGTGGCATTAAATTGATGAGTATTATTTACAGCATTGATCTCCTGTCGAGTCTACCGTTACGGTGTTGAAAGGATAAACTCGCGCGGCTTAAACGGCAAAGGGTCATGGAAATAATAAAGAAAAACTTACCTTTAGTCTTAGGGTCATCTCGTTTAGTAATAACAATGCGCACAAGTTGCTGGATCAGCGTGTGGACATGCGCACAACAGTGCACGGGGTTCTTGACGAAGTCCATGGCCGCGGCAATGCTGAGCGACTGGCACGGGTTGATCTTTAAACGATCCTCGTCAGTGAAGTCGCGGTCCACTTGCATTGCTTCGTGGAGACGAGCTTTAGCCCTGGAATCAGACCAAAACTATTTATATAGGAGAAAACTACTCTTCAGCAGCGATAGCTTCGTTGGAAAAATGCTGGGCTTCAAACATGGCTCCTGTTCAACTTAAAAGAAACCGAGTCCGTCGTCAAAATTTCAAATGATAGTGTTTAAATGATAAAATTCATGTATCTGACGGCGTGTCTGTACTCGGCAAGTCTGTATCTCGCATGACTACACCTAACCTGACAAGTCTGTACCTTACAAGCTTGTTCCTGACAAGTCTGTATATGGCAAATCTGTACCTGGCAAGTCTGTGCTTGGTAAGTCTGTACCTTGAAATTGTCTATCTCATACTAATTACCTTACATCTGCCTGCTACGGTCGTGAAATTGTGCACGGTACATTAATGTGCAATATTATATTTACTACAAGCTGAATTAGGGAATGTTACACTATGTTTTAACAAGGTCCCTAGTTAAAACTTCGTCCTCAACAGACTTGATAACGTTAAAATAACAAATAAAAGATATTTATATCACCACAAAAGAGAGAAACAATAATAGGGACAAAAGGGTTAGACTCAGCAATTCAGAATTACTGGATTTCAGTCTCAACTGTAGCTATTTGCTTGACGAATGATTTGATTCGTCGAACGATAACTGATCTAGATGGAACGCGTTTCACACGTCATACTGATCCAATATCATTGGTTGCTTATGATGTTATCACCAACCAATCAACAAGCGCACATCATTTGTAAATATTGGCATGTAACATACGTTACGTTGATTACAGTTCAATTTTTAAATCCACAACACTTATAAAATAACACCTTTAAAACAACAACGCTTTTAAATTATTATATTTATTAATGAATTTGACATTTCACCGTATTATTATACTGTAATATACATTTATTACTCATTAAGAATCCATTTTGACATTTCCTGTATACACTTGACATTGTTAGTTTCATTCAATTATTTATTAGTTTCATTATGTTGATTTTGTATATGTACTTATGACTCACTATTATATATTATTTCTTCATTATTTTGTAAACTGACGCTCATTTTTCGAAGAGTAGTATAATTGTATGTTTGTATAAAATTTGTAATGTTGAGAGAAATAAACTAGACTAAACTAAACTATAGGTACATTTTTATTTAAAAAAATTATCAATTAAGTATCTTACGAGAAAAATGTCACAAGTACCATGACGTTGTGTGGTTCTAGAAATCGTAAATGGATGCTGGTAAGCAATAACGTATCAACCAAACACGATCATAGCTTTGTGAAAGTGGCACCTAAAGATTTTTTTCGTTATATTTCTTCTAATATCTACTTATAAAATGAAAACTCTTGCTGTTTTTGTGAATTGTTGTGATTTAATACTATAATTCCCCAACAGCAAAAGTTTTCATTTTATAAGTAAATTTTAGAACTATCAAAATCAACGAAAAATAATTTGGTGTCATTTTTGCAAAACTATGATAATATTACTTGACACGTTATTGCTTATCAGCGTCCAAATTTGAAATAATGTTTTAGTACTAACTCATTTAAGTAAATACTTACATGTTCTGTACTTTTGAGGAATCACAGTCATTATCTAACAATCCATTAGTATTAGCAGACTTGACCATCTGTACAAGAATAGGTGTCAACTCTCCCTCCAAAGCCAGCAGGCCTTTGGCGAAGGCAGCCGCTGTCATTTGTACTCGACCTTCGTCCGATGCGTAGATCTTCAGGTCGTGACGGAATGTGGAGTGGAGACGGAGGAGGCCCAGGCCTTGCGTGCCACCTTCGCCTGGTTTTTAAAGATAATTCTTGAGTACAAGTGAAGCAAAAAATCATGTTACAAGTTGAGAATTATTTAGTTTTTGTAGTTATACAACTACGATGTAATATGGAGTAATGTACTATACAGTAAAGGGCAAAACGTCGCCTTAGAGTGAAAACGTCGCATATGTGTTTTCACATATTCGTTTTTATAGATTTTTGTTGAAGAAAAACTAATAAAGATCTTGCTCAAATATATTATTAAAGTAATATAGTATCTGAACGAGGTATAATTTAACTAATTAAAATGCTAGCTACAAACATTGTCGCGTTCGCTTCATTTTACACCATATTTTTATCTTCGTCCTGAAAAATTACATAGAAATAACATACGAGGTATTCACTCTAAGACGACGAAAAGTAGTTATCAAAATGTACATTGAAAAATGTCATCAAAGTCTTTACACTTCCGATTTTATGATGATGAAAAGATACAGTATAATACGTTGTACTTGTATATGAATTCATATCGTCCGTGTTTTGTAAAAAGGGCGTAAGCGACATTTCGAAATATTTTTCAGGTGAGCATGTTTTAGGTTTTCACGACTGTTTTAAAATATTTACGATCTGTTTTAAATTACATTTTAAAACAAACTTGATTGAAACCAAAATTTAATTTGGCTTGGTGTGATAAGGCCACATCTGCAAATTACTTTTCAGGAGCCAGGTTTAAAGATTCTGACGAAATTAGTCGACATATTTTTAATGCTCAAGTAGAAAAGTTGTAAAATAATTAACTGTCTCTGTGTCCGAACAGTTACAATGCTGGTCCGCCGCGCAGAGGTCCCGGGTTCGATTCCCGAGCCGGGAGAAATATTTGTATGAACTATATTTATTTATCTCATGAGTTTGGTTATAATTTGTGGTTGTCTATGTGTGTGTCCATGGCACCTGCGATACAGGGTTTTCCTAGTGCGGGATTTTAGAAAAAAATCACATATACATAATTTGTTTTATGTATGTAGTTCGTATTTTATTGTGATAAAAGCACTTTCGACTTACACGTGGCTTTATAATATCGAGAGTACAAATTCTTTGACGTAAGGTTTTCTTCGTCGAACTTACCAGGAATATGGCGTCCCTGTCCACCAGGGTACATGCATCGGAACATGCGCCCCAGCTCTTCTGCCTGGATGCGTCCGGCGGGCGTTAGTTCACCGCCCCACTTTAGTATTAGCACCAATGATGGGTCGCCCGCACCACCTACTGAAATAGTGTGAATTTTAATCGATGGTTTTAAGAATGGTGGATTATTTCAAGGAGCGAAGGAGGAGGGGAGTGGTGGGAATACTCTGAGAGAGCCAATTTGCTCAGTGCTTGTGCACACCGTCTCGTATCGTAAGATATAAAGCCAATTATTATGAATAATACTGGAAATGAAGTTACATATTTTATTTTTCGGATCTAAGTCACATATTGTTCTTTTTTTCAAACAAACCAACGTTTCGAAAAAACAAAATGGTTTGTTTGAAGAAATAAGTTTCATTTCCAATGAGTACCAATCGCGAAAGCTTAAAAGAACTCGATAAAACATAATATAATTTGGCACATTCTGAAAACATCTGTATAATCATAGTAAAATAAGAGAAGTATAGTAAGGGGGTGGCACTAGTAAGCGACAAGCACCATTGTTCGGCACCTTTTAAATAATTTCTAATAAGATTAAGCAACATTTTCTATCACAGTAACAAGTTTCTTATTGG